TACATTCCCCAGAGCCTGCAGGTTTGTCATCGGCTCTTCTTCATGGGGTACACTTCCCTTCCCGATTCTTCCAGTACTTACTTGATGTGCTCTGTGCGTCCAGAGCCCTCAATGGTCTTGGCTCCCCACCGCTGCTCCTTCTCAGAGATGTCATTCTAAAAGACAGCATGTGACATCATCAGCAAAGGAGTGTGCTTTGTTGCAAGGAGCCTCACACCTGTCTGTATTAGATGCTTCTTCAGAGTTGTTACACTCACTCATAGATGCATTTATCCTATTTCAACCCTACATGAGAATTAAAATTAAACCAGTGATACTTGACACACCCTTCCTTACTCCAAATCACCTCCTTAGGTCTACCATGACACCTCAAATTATGGATCATAGGTCCTAAGAGTCCCAGATTCAGCTGAGCCTCAACTTCAGGATAGAGTGAACCAGCTCCTCAGTTTCACTACCATATGCACTCATACCTGTGCCCTTCTATGTACAACACCAGTTATGAATTCATAATAATAACAGCTAATCTCAGACAGTCTTTTCTAAGCCCCCTCAAAGATCAGAGCGGCTGAGATGCCTCCCCCAAATGTTCAAGTGAAGCTTACTTCCTACTCACCACGAAGTCAGGGTCTGTGTCCCAGTCATCACCCTGGGTCTCCACGGAAACAGATACATCATGCCCCACTACAGACTTCCACATCTGAGGATTACAAGTGATGGAAACAATCAGGAATGAAAAAAGAATCAAGAGGAAGGATGATAGGAATGCTGGAGTCGAGTATATGAGCAATCAAATGTTTCTTGTCATTTTTACAAGAAAACAAGAGCTGAAACAAAGCAGACAGAAGTAGGGAGACCTCTTGTTATTTAGAAGAGAAAGGAGTGGGGTTTAGTTAAGTTGATTTGGAATGGTTTGAGTCCACCCATGTCTGGAGAGAAGTCAATCTAGACATAGGTAACACTAAACAACCCCTGTCAACATGACAGAACTGTTCACTGTGTCCACAGCTTGTAGAGGTGATCAGTGGTCATACAACACCCACTACAGGATTGTGGTGGCATTTCCCTCAGATTTCCCCATGGTTTCCTTTCTAGCTGTCAGGACATAAATGAGTCCATGGTTCTTCCTGTCTATAATCTGCTTAGCTACATTGAAAAATTTTTCACCTGTCTATCAAATACTGTCCCACATTCACGCTAAGCCTGCTCACTCACTGTAGGTCGTTAGTAGGGATCATTGGTTGAAATACCCACACTAGTTGATGCATGGAGAAACATTAGGTGACAGGAATCTCAGTTTTCTAAGAAAGAAAACAAGGCTTTATGCTTTATCACTCAATTAAAAATACTGTTTAACTCTATTTAAAAAGATAAATATTCAAACATAGCTTGTAACAGGTCCCTTTTTTGGAACACTATATGAAATTTACCAACCAAATAAACATTACAGAAGTCTTTGGAGAAGACTAGTTTGATGGAGTATCATCAATCATTTTTCCACTGTACACTTGTGTTTTATTGAGCCTTGCCAAGAGAGTGTGAGGAAGAACTGTGTAGTCACACTGTGGGCTTTTGAATGGTGGTGTGGCCACGTAACAAGGGACAATGCCCATATGCCCGGTAGTCATTGGGATTTCTTGGTTCATCTCCTACCTCCTGTCTGGCGAGTCCCTGCTCATCCTTTCTCTTGGATCTCCACCACTGGCAGGCTTTCTTGGTGTTCATTACTCAAAGGAGACCCTTTTCGACTACCCATCACAGAGCTCTTTCCATCTAGGTCCCAGGTCTCTACTTTCTAGACTCACCTGGAAACCTTCACCTTTGCCCCCATTTCCTAAGAACCACTAGAACATCATCCCTGGGGAAATCTGAGGTAGGTGGCTTAAAAATTTGCTAAGGGGCAGCTGGGAAAGTGGTGAGTTAACCAGGCCAAGAATCACCGTGAGCTACTAAGAACAATGCCTTCCCTACTCGGCAATAGCTACAGATAGGGGTTAGGACAGGTAAAGGTGACCTGTGAACCACATCCTTATGGCCTCTGTTTGACACGTCCTGGCTCTTGGGCTATTCTGCAACAGAGGGAAACTGGAAAGGAGAAGTCAACTATATGCATGAGCTATAAGGAAGCAGTGGTCTCATCTTCTGTGCTTCTGTGTCCCCAGGCCTCAGCCTATCTCTCCCATCAACCTCTCACACTCATTTTTAAGATCAAAATAACTTAATATGCGTGTGCTGTTGGCATCTGATCAAGAAGGTTGTTAACTTGAAGTAGGAGGCTGGAGAATAATGCGGTGGACAGTGAATTCCAGGTACATCCAATGCCTGATGACAGTGTTGACTTATGGCATCAACAGTCAATAGAAACCTCAGTAATATGACAGCCCCTGTGGGACCACAGCCAGTCACACAACACACAGAATGTACTGTTTAGCAATTCACAAATATTAAACTTGGATACATCACTGATTACTGTGATTTTACTCCCCAGTGTTAGATAGTGAAGGGGTTGGCATAGCTGCCTGTCTCTGACACTCTGGGATTCCAACTAGCACACAGGGTTAGCCCTGCTGAATAATCATGCTTGCATTTGGCTCCTAAAAGCACTTGGCTCAGTGCCCGTATTCACTTGTGGTTATTTCCTGTCCCCTTACATTTCCCATGTGCATTTTGTGCCCCTGCTAGACCACTTTATCTTCTTCTGTGGGCCTCTTTGAGCTTAGTGCCCAGGGGCAGCCCGGCCTTAGAGTGGGCTGCGTAGATCATCGATAGAACCCAGGGTATACTTGGCTGGGCCCATGGTCCCATGTTCCCTGAGTGCAGGCCATTTCCGTGTTCCTATCCTCAGATGCTCATTGTCAACCACTGCACAAACGGAGGCCTTATGGCCACTGGAAAGTTCAACACCTATTAGCAACGCCCTCCCCCTCAACAAAATCCAAGTGCTCTGTAAGTTTCTCTCCCATGCTTCCCCAGTGCTCTCCAAGTCTCTCAGAGCTCTTTGCACCCACCTTTACTGCTTACTCGAGCTCCCAGCTTCAGCTCTTCAAGTCCACACCCAGCGCCCCCTCCAGCTGCTGCACTTCAGGGCAAGAAATGGAGCAGCTGCTTTAGTTCCGTTTTCAGGGTTTCTGTCATTTCCTGCCACACTGTCCTCACAGCTACTTCCTGAAGTTTGAGTCAGTTCCTTAAGCTTTAGGTACTTAAAAGGGTTAAGTGTTTCTGTGTCTAGTATCTTGAAAAGTTTTTTTTCAGGTCATGGGATTGTTATAAAAAATGACTGCAAAGGCACATCCCTAATAGTTAAGACACATCCAAGAATGCTGCAGGACCACTCTGTGTCCCTACACAGGACAGTTGCACCTAACGTAGTAAAAGAATTCAGAACAGGCCAGATGGGTGTGGTGGCAGATGTCTGTGATCCCAGCACTAAGGAGTAGCCTGGGCTACAACACTTTGTAGAGGTCTGGTCTACATAACATTTGGGATAGGCTGTAGCAATCAAGAAAGGTTTACTAGGAAACTGATCTGTAGGTGAATTTTGAAAGGCACACTGTAAAAGCACACATCTCATTACCTATAGCAGACCTCACACAGAACTGACACTCAAAGGATAACTCATGAGACAGGAGAAAGTTTCCTAGCTTGTTGGGAGCTGTGTGGAGCCTCAACTTCTCCAAGAATCTGGAGATGTGAACTTTGACATAGTCCACATTGTTAGGATCTGAGGCTCCTCCCTTCTATCTTCCAGTCAAACATGCTCAGGTGACTTGTTTGGGCCAATAAAAATAGACCCTTTCTGAGGTAAATGCCTCTGAGAGTTTGTATGCTTTTTACTGGACAATGAAAATAAAGTCCCAGGGATCTCTGGTTGAAAAAGAATCCTATGAATTTGTTATTGAATCTGACCCTGGCTCTCCTCATCTTGGTCATCTGTGGATTCTGACCTGATTGGCTTAGAGATAAAGAGCCCCCAAAGTGTCCCAGAAGGGCTGGGGACAGCAGTCCAGGATGAATGAGCACATTCCTGTAGAGCAGAGAGCTTCTAAGGTCACTGACAAATAAATGCTAGGCTTGGGACATTATTTGTCCTAATAAAGCTATTTTAAAATAGAGCAATATGTAGAAAGGAGAATCTTCTAGCTAATTTGGAATTCTAATCCCATGTCAAAATAAAAGTTTCAGGCCAGACATTTTAGCACAGCATACAGCAATGCAGTTATCTGGAGAAACCACATAGAGATAATACTAATAAAACTCATTTCCCCGTTTCAGATACCCCATATTCATCCTTTGAGGAGTGGAGTGTAACATACAGGAATAGCAGGGCTTTGAAACCAAGGAGATCAGGTTTGAAATCTGCTTGTACACTGAGATAGCAGGCCAGCTTTTCCCAAGCAGCAACTTCATATAAAAGCACAATTATACCTACCCAACCTGCAAGAGCTGTGAAACCTCCCCTCCTCCATGTACGTGTGTGTGTGTGTGTGTGTGTGTGTGTGTGTGTGGTGGTGGGTGTCTTGGGAGACTGTTTTTGTTTGCTGTTGTGTGTGTGTGGGTTTTTTTTTTTTTTTTTTTTTTTTTTTTTTTTTTGAGACAGAGTCTTGCCATGTAGCACAGGCTGTCCTGAACTTACCATATAGACAAGACTGACCTTGAATTTATGGTCCTTCTTCCTCAGCCTCCTGAGTGCTGGAATTATAGGCAAGTGCCACCATATTTGGTGGCCTAACATTTTCCAGAGTTCTCTTAGAACTATACACAAGGCTGCAGGAATTTCACACCCTACGAGTCTGCTCCTCTAACTCAATCTCAGGACAGATTTCTCTGCTCTAACCTCATCTGATTTTTCTCCAGCAGCTGAGGCTAGAAGGATGCCCACAGCTGTCTGATGCTGGCCAGTGACAAGAACTTTCAACTCCAGTAATCATTTCTCCATCCTTCACTCTCCAGAGTGCAAACACAAGTATATAACATCTGTGCTGACAAACAGCCTTACACAATTCTTCATTCTGAAAATAATTTTATTATTTTACAATAGTTCAGGAAAGTCCTTGGGATATTGTGACTAAAATTATTACCATAGGACAAAAAGCTGATCAGTGAGCCCACCAATCCTCTCTTCTTTAGGTGATACGCACAGGCACTGTGGAAGTCACTCATGACCACTACTCTCAGGTCTGGATTTGGGTGTTTTGCCTTCTCTTTCAACCTCAGTCTTGTTCCCAGAGGCAGGTGACAATGGCATTGAAGATGGAATAACTTATGCCTGCACAACAGTGCCGCTGCTCGGTGTTCTTGAGGCTAGAAGTTCTGATGTTTCTGCTGGCCCTGGGCACTGTCTCAGGATCAAGTTGGAGGCACATCCATAAAATAGGATGTACTAGGTATTCCAGCTCCAACCTGTCCTCATAGCCACCTCTGTTGTTACAGGAACTTTCCAAAGATGTAGGCTGGGTTGAAAGTGGGAAGGCTGTTTTCAAACTGGCAATTGTCATTATAGATGAAATTAAAAGTTCTGAGAGTTGTGGTCACGTGACACGTTTACAGATGGCCTGTGAAACAGAGGATGAGGAGGACATGAATCATCAGGAAGTAGATGGCTGCAAGCAGTGGCACTCGGGTCCGGGAATGGCACAGTGAACGTAGAACCCGCTTCCATCCAGCACCACTCCGGGTCTGAAATCAACAAAACAAAAAATGGGAAAAATCAAAGCCTCGCCTAAAGGCACTTTTCCTTCACCAGTAACCCTGCATTTAAGCCAAGCTGATCCCATCCTCATAAAAGAGAGGCATTCTGGGAGTTTCCTCAGTGGCTGGACACCTACAACCTTGCCCATCTCCATACCTGCAGCCCATTCCCATAGCAGAGTCCTGCTCCATATCTTTGTGTCCTTCCCCTCTTACCCTTAGACAGCTGCTGCCTGGGAGATCTATTAACACCGCTGACTCATGAGCGCCACAGGCACCAATGATAGGAGTCCGGGCTGAATCCCATTCACTATGCTCTTGCAACCTGTGTTGAGGAAAAAGATACAACACGCATCTTCCCAGTCTGCACGAAAATCTTCCCAGTCTCTCTTGGAAGGTGGCCTAGGGAACAGGCAGCAAAAGCTCCTCCCATAGGCCTGGCAGTAAAGGAACTGCCTGTTTAGGATGCTGGCTTGGGTGCTTCTGGCTGGGAAGCTGCTTACTGTCTTATTCACAGAAACATGATCAACAATCAATGGAACTAGAATCCAGTACCCATTGTCTTTATACCTCAGGCTCTTTCCCCCTCTTTGTGCCACATTTGATTCAGAAACTCACTAATTTCTGCCCCCCCTCCCCTCCCCCTTTTTTTTTTTTTTTTTGAGAAAAGGTCTTACTATGTAGCCAATGCTGGCTTTGAACTTATAATTCTCCTGGCTCTGCTTCCCAGAGCTGTGATTACAGGCATGTACCATTACATTTGGCACTTAAAAAAAAAGTTACAACTGGAAAAAGAACTCAAGAAATTCTGTAGGGCTCTTAGCATAAGGCTGACTGCAGCCTCTGCAGCTTTCTGTTTTTCTTTCTGCTGATTTGCTTATTACTTCATTTTGGAAATTTTCCATTTAAGGAGAAGCTGCCATTTACTCAGTGGCCTCTGAAAACAAGGGGTCAAGGGCATGTCTCATCATTTATTTGCTTATAGGGACACACACTCTAACTGGAGTGGGGAGAATGCAAGTTCCCTTCTTCACGTTTTTTTCCCCCACACAGGCAATCTCCATCAGCGGAACACCAAACACTTCTCTGGGGCCACTCTCTTCTTCAGCAGAGAGGAAATGCCTTCACCTGAACCTGGTCTAGGTGGGCTACATTTAGTTGCCCTGCTGTCCATTTTGTTCTCAGCCAGAAGGAAAGCCGAGTGGGGCTCACTAACCTTAGGTTAATGTGGTCCAGACACAGGCTCCAGAGTCATCCTGACTAAGCTGTCTCAAGTGGTCCAGATGAATGACACCCGAAGGGGGTGGGGTGTGTGTGACCTCTCCATGGATCAGGTTTCATAGATCTAAACAATTTCTTAAGTGGCAGAGAAACGGCCATGGACAAGTAGGTCTGAATATCTTTGCAAGGCCACTATATCAAGCTGCACTGTGCTCCCACAGAGCTACCCTGAAAGCTATCTAGACACAGTGTTGGAAACAAAAAGCTGTGAATATGCTAGATGGGAAAGAAAGAAATCTAAGCTAAAACCTGCTCTGGGGAAGTCATTGCAAGGAGGCAGTAACTTCCCCAGTGCCATTTATTCTGAGGGAAGAGACAACAGACACAGCTGCTTGCCCCTGAGGGCATAATGGAGGTGCCAGCTATGATTCGTCTTTCCGCATAAAGGGGATTCCGCAACAAAACTTGTTGTCATACTACCTTCTGATTTTCTTGACTTGAAATAAGCAATGAGGGGTGAACAGCTATGAACTTCAAATCACACTTGGGGTAGAGTGCCCACAGTATCACACACATCCATGCCCTCCTAGCTAGGAAAAAAGCCAGCAGACACTGCCCAACAGAGCCTGACTGGCAAAGAGAAGTTCAGGGTTAGCCAGTGCATTTGCCAAAAAATCAAGCCACATTCTCTATTAAGTGGTCTTTTATTCTCTTCTAGGTTACGATCTTCAAAATTTCAATTGGCTAGGTAGGTGTGGTAGCATATATTCTTAATCACAGCACTTGGGAAGCAGAGACAGGTAGATTTCTGTAACTTCAAGGCCATCCTGGTCTACAAATCAAGTTTCAGGCTAGCCAGAGCTACATGGAAAGACTTGTCTCAAAAACAAACAAACAAAACCCCAAAGTCTGGGTATCAGCTAGGTAATGAGAATGCATTGATTTGGTGCCTAAAAACATCTGACACTGAGGTCGTGGGATGGCTCAGTGGGCCAGAGCACTTGCTTTGCAAGCATGAGAATCTATACTCACACCCACAGTGCCCATGTGAAAGCTGGCCTGGCTGTGCATACCTGCAATCCCAGAGCTAGGGAGAAGATAGAGGCAGGAGAATGGCTAAAGGGCTGCTGCTCACTGAAAAACGGCAAGTGCCAGGTTCAATGAGAGACCCTGTCTCAAGGGAATATGGTAGAGAGGGATACACCAAGACACCTAACATCATCCTCTGACCTTGCCTCCCTCCAACATGCACAGACACAGACACACAAGAACCCAACACATACATCATATAGTTACTGTTGGGATGAAGTAACACACCTTATGTAGCTTACTTGTGTAATATGGATGGTAAATAGATTACCAACCCCTATAAGCTATCACTCTGGGAAGCACAGGCCTCCGAAACTCCAGAAGTACCGTGCTCCTTAGTGATGACTCTCAAGTCACTTGCGGAGATTAAGATCTTAACTTACCCTGAGCCTGGTCGCAGAAATGTGCAGGAGCAAGGCCAGGAAGGGTGAGAAGTGAACAGAAGGCACCTGCCTCCCAACACCTTACCGTCTGATCTGTTCCTCGGCCAGGGAGAGTGCGTTCTCGGTGGTCAATCTTTGGTCTCGTTCTTCTTCCAGCAGCTTCTTTAACTCATTCACTTCTTGTTGAGTGCTGCAGAGCTGCTGCTGGGTTTCAGTCAAACTTGAGGGTAAAAGGCAAACAAAGGGCATCACCAGATAGAGAACACTATATTTTCACAAGGCTGGAAGCATTTCCCCAAACAGGAAACCTAACGCAGAAGTATAGCTAGAGCAAACAAAGCAGATTAGTCCTATAGAGAGATGCGAGCCTGTCGGAAGAGTTTCAATTCTGCACCTGGAATGCTGCATGTGTGCACTTGTGTTATAATTGTTGTTCCTTTCTAACACAAAATGTTAGGTACTGTTACGTTCAATCTTTACATCACTCTGTGGTGCTAGTCAGATAACAGGACACTAAGTGCAAATGGCGAACTCTATCTCCACTAAGATTATAACCCAGTTTCGTTAAAATAGCACACACTAAGTATACACAAGAGGTTTCATTATTATGACATTTCCATGCATGTAGGTAATCTACTTTTATTACATTCACTCCCATCACCCTCTTGTCTACCACCCAATCTTTGCACACAATACACGATGGAGGGTGAGCCCTGCTCCACTACCTTGGCTGTGGCTCCACTGTGGCAATGGGATCACTCGTTCTGCGAACTCCACTCATTCCCTGGGGTGCTCCAGGAGCAACATCTACATTTGATGGTCCCTAGAAAACAGCAGCATAGCAGTTGCCATGGATACTGTATGTGTGCCAACTGCAAGCATTTCACTGCATCGGGAATTGACAGTCCCTAGCTACCCGGCCACACCCCCAACCCCCATTTCACAGAGAACTTCTTGATGCTGCCTTACCGTAGCCTGCAGTTGGTGCACCTGCCTTTCCAGGACTGCACAGTGCCTGAAGAGGTCACTGTAGTGGTGTTGGTTTTCACGCAGACTCTGGTTGGAGTCACTGAGCTGGATGGAGAGGATATTCTTCTCTTCGATCAGCTGAGAGAGCTGAAGCAGGACACAGAGTAAGCACCAACCCCAGGACTACATCACTGGAAGCAGTGCTTAGGCAACTGGCCTGAGCTTTTAGGATCTGATTTGTAGTGCAGCACCTACCTTAGAATCATACCACAGTATGTTTCCTCAAAGAGAAAAATGCAGACATGTTTCAGCTAGGAAAGGAAAATAGCTCTGGAAGAGCAGCAGGAAACTGGTTTATTTTTAATGATGCCAAGATCTATGGCGTGAATAATGATCAAGCAGAAACCCTAACAAAATTCCAGTAGAACAGGCTGTTTTGGGAATATAAGCAGAGGGCAGTAGGTTGGGTCCATGCTTGAATAAACAAAAGCCTAAGTGTTCCATATAGCCAGATAGCAAGCTCACACTTAAAACATATATAATAGTATTACTGGGTGCATATGTTTCCAAGAGAGCAGAAAGAAGTCATGTGTCTACACATACTTGAGAAATTTGAGTGGGAGCCACATAGAAACAATAGTCTGAAAGCCAATATCTTTCCTCCAGTTCCTGAGTGACAGGCAGTGGTCAGATATGTCCTTGTACAAGTTCAGTGTCAGGGTGGCCACTACCTGGCAAAGCAATCTAAGTCACTGGTTTCTAAACCAAAAAAAAAAAAAAAAAAAAAAAATAAATATTTTTACAATGACTGAAAACATTTCCTAATCAGCTGTAGCTTCTACTAGCTGACTGGTATTTTTGACTTCCCTGGAACCGGAATTCTGATTTCTCACTTGTGGGTTGTCATTTGAAACTTTAGTTATGATAAATACTCAGGATTTTCTTTAGTAGCCATGGAGATGTCCTCCTGGGTAGCCACCACGGAAACACAGGAAGGCTTGTGTCTCAGGAAATGGATGGATCTGGCTTCGAGTCTTGTCTTCTCTTGAAGTTCTAAAGAAAGCTGGTTTCTCCAGTTGAGGAGACCCAGAGGACAATGGCCTATAGCAGTGCTATTCACTGCAAGTGGTTCCGCTTAGTTCTAAGGGCCGGTGGTTATTGGAAGAGGGAATGCTGGACTTGTGGTGGACTTGTGGGTGTGTGTGTGTTATGTGTGCACGAGTACAGGTGTGTTCATTCTGCAGCATAGGTGTGTTCATTCTGCCGCACATGTGTAGAGAACTGAGAAGAACACTCAGCAGTTGATTCCATTTTTCCACTGCAGGATCCAGATCAAACTGAAGTCATCACGATTGCGAGGCAAGCACTTTCACCCACTGAGCAGCCTCAATGGCCCATGTTACATGAGTTCCTGTGATAAGAAGAGTACATCCCACCCCAAACTGTGCATACATTTGGGAGTATTCAAAACTTTTCTCCAAGTAGACCTCTGGACTCACTAACCACTAACCTCATGAACAACTTCTAATTCTCCCAGAGACTACCTGTTCTAGGTATCTCTGAAGAGGACAGGCCTGGGAGGAGCCATTGAGAACATCTGGACCAGTCAGAGAGCAACAAGAAGACAATGACTCATAGGAGATGGATGGGGAGATGTTTACACATTCCTGACTGTGAATGGGTGAAGCTCTGTATGGGCTTCTTCAAGTCATTCTCAAAGACCCACCAAGGGCAAGGAGAGCGCTGTCCATGTCCTCTGCTCTGCAAGAAATGCTCGCTCTTAGAACCTTCTGTTCTAAGTTCTGCTGAGGCTGGGTTCCTGTGCTGAATCTTACCTCCAGGAAGAAAAAAAAGAAACTGAATTTCAGTCTAGCATGAAACAAGTACCTGGCTGTTCAGCTGCTGAATTCTTAGTTCCTTCTGGTGAATTTCCTTTAAGCTGTCATTGAGTTGAGTCCTGAGAAGTTCTGCCTCATTGATGAGGTTTTGTGACCCATCGAGGGAAGTTGATGTCTCCGAGGACACCTACCAGGATACAAACGTCACTAAAATTGTCTCCTAAGATTGCTCACACCCAATCCCGTCCCTCTAGAAGAAATCATGTCCTCCCCAGAAAAAGTCAGGAGGAGGCTTGCCTAATAGTTGCTGATTTTTTGGGCAGGGCACTGTCAACAGCAAACCATATGGATAAGCTCACCTGTCTTTGGTTCAGTGTGGAGAGAATCTGGGTTTGGGAGGAAGACCTCAGGAGACTCTGCAGATGACCGAGCTGCTGATCTTTATCTGAGATGGCCATAACGTACTCCTCCTTCATTTTCCTCTCATGAAGTTCCCAGGCATTCTTCTCCATTCTACACCATGAAAAAAAAAATGGCTCAAATATACTCATGACACCAAGAAGAAAAACTTGATATTCAAAATATTCTTATGTGATATTAGCAATGTAGCAAATCTGGTATATATCAGAGTGAAATTTATTCTACAAGTGGAAACACCCAGAGAGGTGGTGAGCACTCAGCTGTGTCAGGACTAGAAAGAAGAACTACTATTCCACTGGATTTGGAACCTGAGCAAAGAATTGGGTTTCCAAATGGGAATGCAATTCAAAGTCAGCATGAAAAACTTGGCCTAAGGCACCAGTCTGAATGCAGAGAGTGAAGTTCAGGAATGCAGAGTCAGTGTGCAGGACAAATACATATGGAATGTGGATGTTAAGACTATGCACAGCACTAGAAACCACTACAGTCCTTCAGCAGGGTCAAGTTAATGATGCAGAACTAACATCAGTGTTGACTCTGAAGGACTTAGCTTTCCGGTTCTTGCATATACAAGGTATGAGACCTGAATAAATGTCAATCTTGCCAAGTTTCTTCAATAAAGTAGGAATAAACCAGTTATTTCTTAGGACTGTTTTAAGGATTAAATGAGATACCGTACATCATTCGTTGAACACAAAACCTGGCACATGTTAAACTTTAAGTAATAAACATTAGTTGTTATTTTATTTACTTATTTTCCTGAATTTGGTGAAGAGTGGGGTTTCTACTGAACACCAGCTACTTCTTTGTGATGTATAAAGCCAGCTGGGTGGAAGAAACTAGGTGAAGCTTACATAAATGGTCTCTATTTCTTCAGTGTTCTATAAACCAGCAACAATTTCAAAATACAATGTTACAAGACAACAAAAAGGGTCCAAATGCAAGGATAGTCCTACCTGAGCTGATGTAGCTCTTGCTGCCAGGTGAGGTTTTCCTGCCTAAGTTCCTCCTTCATCATCTGTAGGGTTTTTGTCTGCTCTTGATATTCCTCAAGTTGAGCCTTCAGTGGACGTAAGTCAGTGACTTCTTGATTCATCTGTAAGTACTGCTGCTGCAGATTCTTCAGTTCCTTCAGCTTTAACCAGAGGGAGCAGAAGGTGACTCACTTCTCATTTCCCTACTGACCAGTCACTCCTACCACACAGGCACCACTGTGAGCACCTTCCCATAGTTCACTGGCAGCCAAGGAACTGTCATAACTGTCAACAAGGCTACAGGACCTAACCATTCATTCTCCCAGTGCTACCCCACAGCCCCACCTCTTAGGCCCAAAGCTCTGACTCTGATCCGAGACAGACATAAAGGAACTACAGATTATTGTGAATGGCAAATGTGCCTGAAGAGTGCTTTCTCCCACGCACACATGTGCCTTTGTTTGGCTTCTGGATTTCTTACATGAACACAGCAGCATTTTCTTCATTGCTGCTGCTGTCGTCTACTTTTTTATCTTGTCTTCGTGTCCCAGTTTTTGGGTGGAACTCAGGCATAGGCAAGTGCTCTACCACTAAGCTACATCCCAGCTGGATTTTAGGATTAACTCAAGATGAACTGATGCCACTGTAAAGAAGGTGCAGACTTTGAATACTTTGGCTCTAGAATTAGATAACCTACTGTTTCTTGGATGTGAGATGATCTAAGTCTTTATTTCCCTCACCTATTAAATGAAGATCATTACAGCACTTTTCCTCATACAAATATGAGAATTAAATAAGAAAAGTGATATGTCTCGTACACAAGATTGATGAATATTAGGATGGACTTGCCTTTAGCAAAACTGCACTATTTTAAAACTCTTTGCCAATATTCACTAACAGCTTGATCAAGAAATAATGTCAGGACATCTGGGGAAGACATCAACCTTAAACAAACTTTTACCTACTCACAAATGTTAATACTACCACAACGGTAGCTTTTTAAAGCACCAAACACAAGAATGGGAAGACCCAGGTCAGCAGCAACACATGCCTAAGGCTGGAAAGCAGATGAATGACAGCAACTGACTTAACACGTCTGAGATAGCTGGAGCTTCAGCTGGTGGTAGAGAAGCCAAGGACCAACAGAACTGACTCTGCAGAATTGTCAAAGGGCTCAGGAATTAACAGCACTGGGTACCTCTGGAAAAAATGGTGATGGGACTGGAGGGAGGTGGGAGCTGAGAAAAGGGGGATTAGAGTAGTAATGCTTCAGAAGCAATTGCATCCAAATCCTCTGCTCCACATGCTTTGATACCTCAACTGAAAAACTGGTTTCACTCTCTGGGAAAGGTAAAGGACATGTTCCTGGAGCAGGGAAATACCAGCCCAGCTACAAGGCAGAACATTGCTCTAAAACAGCAGTGATTGGTGATGCACATTGTAAGTGCTCCCAGCAGGTTAGAGCTTCATTCTAAAACAGCAGTGATTGGTAATGTACACAATGAGTGCTCCGGGCAGGTTAGAGCACTGCTCTAAAGCAGCAGTGATGGGTGATGCATGCTATGAGTGTTCTTGCTGGTTCCCTGCTCAGCTTGAAGATGGAGATGCTGGTTTTCTTCTGAACAGAAGATAAAAGTTCTCTCAAAATCTGACCAGACCTTGAGAAACCAAAGACACAACCTTGGGGACCATTATCAATAAGCTCAACAAGATCACGCTGCAGTAAACTCACACCAAGTTCCCCCCAACAAGCTTCTTAGATTCTTCTCTTCATCTGAAGATGAAACAAGGACCTTTCTTCATCTACAGAAAGGCTAACATCAGGGATGAAAAGCTGGAAAATGGTAATCCAACACATTAGCAGGAGGACATCACATGTGATGAAAGACAAGAGAGAATGCTGGCAATCAGAAACATTACGGCAGCAATAAAAAATTACCAAGAAAGTCCACTAGCAGAAGAAGCCCGTCAGGTGTGGTGGTACATACATACCTGCAATCCTGGCCTTTGAGAGACTGGTGCAGAAAGGCGTGGGTTTGGGGTCAGCCTGGACTACACTGAACCCTCTAGGCAAGCCTCAGATATATAAGATCCCATCTCAATAACAAAATCGGGGTGGAGTTAAGAGTTCTCACTGCTCTTCCAAAGGGCCCCAGTTCAATTCCCATGTTGGGCAACTCAACATTGCCTGCAATTCTAACACCCTCTTCTGTTCAAGCTTGTCTTCAACTCACAGCAGCATCCTGAGTGCAGCAGTTATAGGCATGTGTTGCCATGCCTAGTGACACTTACTTTGAGAAATCCTTTTAAATTTAACTTCTTTCTGGACAAATTAGGTTTGAGCAACACTTCTAGACAAGCTAAGTTCTTACTACCCTGATCTAGCAGATGATCAAGTGCTCAGCCACCACTGTGAAAAGACACTGAGTGACCTGTGCTTCCTTCCAATTAACCTGCTTGAAGTTCTGGAATATTTACAGGATGTGCAAAGCAGTTTGGTATCTTTTAACCCCTTTATAACCAATGCACATTCTGTGCAAAGAAAAAGTCATCTGAAACTGGCAACAGCATGTCTGCTTTTCTTAAGACCCAAACAATCTGAGGAATGTGCAGCAATGATGATGATTTTATACATAGATTCTACATATAGAAATGGCTCCCTTTCTATGGAAATAAAAATCAGTGTAAAGAATGGCCCAAGGCCTCTCAAACACAGATCTGAAATACACACTCACTAATCGATCTCTGTCATTCTGGAGAGAAGACATAGCTTTCTTCAAGCTCTGCATCTCAGCTGGACTAGAGGAAGACGAAGGGGCTGCAGCCCTCTGCTTCCCTTCCTCCGATTTCTGGAATTTTTCTAGCTCACTCCACAGGTGATCTCTCTCATTTTGTAGACTGGCCATGGCCTTGGACAAGGACTGCACTTTGTTGTGACAATCTTGGAATTGTGAAGATAAGTGAAGCAACTGCTCATCTTTGGATATGAGCTGCTGGTTAAGTTTCTCAAGACGGGTCCAGCTGTTCTCAGTGGAGGTCAGGGGAAAGGCAGCCTGGGAAATGATGTCACTCTCCCTGCTTAAGTCCCTGTGTTCTTTCAGCTGTGCTAGCTCCTTCAGACTGGCCTCATACTTCTTCTCCAGGTCACCAAGCTTCTCAGTAGTATGATCTCTGCTGTCCTGCAAGGAACTCATTGATCTTCCAAAAGACTGGATCTTCGCAGTAAGATCTTTGTTCTCTTTGGTTACCATGAGCAGCTTCTGCTCCATCACGACCAGATCTCTGGCGAGCTCTGCCACTCTCTCTTCTGCTGTTTCTGTCTCATTTCGCATTATCCCTGCATCATGATGGAGATGCTTCAGTTCCTTCTGCAGCCTGTCCTCGATTTCACTGACCTTCCTGGTAGCTTCCCTCTGAACAAAAACTAACTCCTCTTCCAGGTCTGAAGCTCTCTTCTGGGAAGCGGAGAGCGCCACGTTTAACCTCCAAACCTCCTCCTCTTTCACTTTCAGTTGGGCACCTACAGTACCTTCTTCCTGCAAGGCTGCCACTTGTCCCTTCAAGCTCTCAATCTCTGTAGACAGATCTTGTTTGGCCCCTTGGAGGCTGTCACAGGTCCTCTGCAGGTTTTGCCTTGCTTTCTCCGACTCCTTCAGCTTTTCTTCTAGTCGCACACATTCATTTTTCAACTCCTTATTTTGTTGTAGTTGCCCCTCAAGTAGTTGCTTTTGCTGGCAGTCCTTTATGACTATCACTTCATTCAGGTCTTGCCTATACTGGATCAGCTCAGCATCTAGCTTGGCGTTCTCGGAATTGAGATCATCCATATGACCTCTCAGCCCTCGCATTTCTTCCTTCAGTTTATTATTCTCAGTAGCAGCTTCTTGGATCAGTTGGTCTTTTTCCAAGATCACAGAGAGATGTCGGTCTTCCAGCTGCTGATAGTCACTTATTATGCGGTCTCGGTCATCCTGGAGCGAGGACATGGATTTAATGAAGGAACCCAGCTGGGCCTTCTGCTCAAGGTTCTCTTTCTTAATTTTCTCCAGTGTTTCCATGAGCTGATTGGTTTTCTCAACAGCCCTTTTGTTTTCTTCTTCCTCCTGGGACAATAGATTTTCTAGTTCTTTAATGTCTTTGTTGTGTTGTTGGCACAGCTCAGTGATAGCTGCCTGGACTGCCTCCTCCTTGCCTGAAAGCAGGCTTATAATCTTCTGCTCCTTCATGTGGATTTCATCATGCAACTTACTGGTCAGTTCGCTAGAGGCTTTTAGCTCAGTCTCGAGTTGTTCATAACTGAACTTAAAATTCTGGATATCAGCTTCTTGCTGTTTGATGATCTTTTCTAAATTTTCTTTATGTTCTTTGCATTTTTCTAAAGAGTTATTTAAGTCACTTGACTGGTCTTTGAGATCCTTAAGTTCTGATTCCAACTTAGCTACTTCATTCATAGACTTGTGGCATAGTTGTCGAGTCTCCTCTAGCTGGAACATAAGCTCTTTGTTTTCCTCCTGAAGGGTAGCACAGACTTTGTGTTGTTGTTGTTGCTCTGTCTGGAACTTGGACTCCCACAGTTCCTTGTCATGTTCAAGACTAGGAGATGGGGTTAGGGGAGAGAAGGAGGGAGGAAGAAAAGGAGAAAAATTAACTACATGACCTACTACAAATCAGTCAATATTCATTATTGAAGGTTTTAATGGTGATCTTAGTTCTCTGCATCTGTGTGCGAGTACTAACTAACAAGATCCATCACACGGAAAAATAACACACAGCTACATCACGGAGATCTGGATCATGAAACTGTGTTCCTTGTTTTAGTGATCTAGTTTGAGACACTGAAAATTAAATCAGCCCTGGCCCTCACTGTTTCATTCTACCTTGCTCCAGACAAGCTAACAGTGGCTTTCTTTAAAGCTCTGGCCCTGATCAAAAAAAAGAGTAAGGAAACAAAAGGGGAAGAATACTGAGGGTGGGGGGCACTGTCAGTTCCTGAGCTTGAAATGTGACATTGAGAGTATAAGGACCGGATGTCTAAATGACAGAGAGCACACAGTTGATGCCAACTTTGGCAGTGAGGACAAGACAATTTAGGACACCAAAGCAATCTTTTGGGAGTGAGTAAGTTGGTAGAAATATAGACAAAGGTAGTAGATTGTCAAAAAAAAAAAAAAAAAAAAAAAAATCCAGACACAAACATGAAGAGAAAGAAACTCATGCTCTTTTAACAGAGACGTGGGGGAAAATACATCAGTGGTTCTATGTTAATGATTCTATGATAAAACAGATTATAACAAAACACAAAAATGGCAAAAAAAAAAAAAAGTCAGAAGGGAAAGAAGATATACATTCTAAGGGAATTGAAAACAAAAACTGGTTCTAATAAAATAAGTAAAAACAGCTTAAAGACTTGCTTTGCCTTCACAATCTCACCTCTGTATATTGATTTTCAGTTCCTCTGTATGGATGTTCATTTGTCGAAGCTGATCCTCTTTCAATCTGATCTCCTCCTCTTTGGTTTGAATAACATGACTAAACTTCTGCTCCCATTTCTTGGCTTCATCGATGACCCTGTCACGGTCATCCTGGAGGGATGACATGCTCTTAGTAAAGGCTGCAAGCTGGGCCACGGTGCTGTCCAGGTTTTCCCGCAGCTGCTTCATTTCTTGGTCTTTTTTGGCCAGGGTGACCTGGATTTCTGCAAGTGTGTCTTCTATATGGGCCTTTTCTCCATGGAGAGCATCCAGTTTCTCTTGCATGTTGTTCATCTCTTTCAGGTGTTTTTCTTCTGCTTGCTCTAATCTTTGTGCCAGGTCTTCATCTTTTTGTTTCATCTGGTGTTTGATGGCTTCTTTGTTTGATTGAAGTTCCTTTTTCAGTCTGAGGTTGTCTGCTAGCACTCTCGCGGCTTCGCTTTGGGTGTCATCTAGCAGCACTTTGAAGCTAGATAGTTCCTCTTGTGCCTGTTTGTGGTGTTCAACTGCTTTCGCCAGATTTCCTTTGGTCACGTCCAAATCCTTTTGGGATTCGGTCTGAATAAACTCTAGAGCCTTAACGGTCTTCTCCAGAGCACCGATCCTCTCCTGGTACCTGATGCAGTCCTTCTGCAGCTGCTTTACCTCTTGCTCTTTTTCTTTCAACAGCTCCTGCAGCTCCTTTGTGTGGCTTCTGTTGCCAGCTCCTTTCTGGGCACCTTGTATTTTCTCTAAATACTCTTTTCGGATTTCTGTCTCCACCTTGGTTTTTTCCATAACCAGCTGCTGCTTTTCTTCTTCTAATTCACTCATGCATTTTTTAAGGTTCTGCATTTCTGATTCTAGTTGCTCGTTTTTTATTTGGGCATCTGTAACATCCTGATAATAATTCCCAATGCTCCCATTAAGTTCAGCCAGTTGATTCATAAGCCTCTCTTCTAAATCATCCTTTTCCTCTTCTGCCATCTCTTTTAGCTTGGTAACTGTGCAAAGTTCTTCCTGGATTTGCTGATTTAAGGTGTTTATTTTGGCGACTTCTTCCTCAAGTAGCTTTAATTCACCGTCCTTTGCTGATATTTGACTAAGGAGAGCATTTTTCTCATTTAGTAATGTCTGGCTAAGTTCCCTATTGCTCTGTTTCTCCATCTCTAACTCGGCAATTCTTCCATTGAGCTGATCAAGTTGCTGCAGGTAGTTATCATGGGAGCCGAAGGTCTCACTAACTCCAGGCTTGGCACTGGTCACTGATGGAATACCTTCCGGATCTTCAAGTTTAATGCTCATGCTCTGGGAATCTTGCTCTTGAGAACTGCCCACCATAGTCTGTGTTTCCTCTTCAGAGACATCTTTTTGTTTATTGTATTTCTCAGTGGCCTCTAGGCTAGCTTGTTTCAATGCATAGTCTTCTGCCTGATGCTTCAGACCTTGAATCTCTTCACTCAGAATGTCTTTCTCGGCCATTACAGCCTCAAACTCCTTGGAAAGAGTTTCATACTCTAGTTTGACCCTTTCTAGTTCCTCCTTCAAGCTGGCATTGGAAGAAAGAAGAACTTCCGTGCTTTCTTTGAGGCTTTCCACAGGCTGGGCCTCTGCTCTGAGCCGATCATTTTCTTCCTCTAGCTCCAGGATCTTCTGTTGTTTACATTTAGCAAACTTTCTCATCTTTTCTTTCATTTCTTCCATTTCCTGTTCTGCATCCTGCAGCTGCCTTTCCATCTCCTTCTTGTTGGTCTCGGTGCTTCGTAACTTTCCATAGAGTTCCTGCTTCTCCTGCCTCACGCTTTCCACCACATGTTGAATCCTTTCCGTTTCGTTGCTCACGTTCTCGTAGGACTGCAGAAGAACTTCATACTCCTTCTGCAGCTCCTTGTGCTTCTCCTGCCATTCAGTGATCTCTGCCATCTTAGAGCACCTCAAAGATTCAAGTTCCTTCATCAGCTTTTCCTTGTCTTCGGTGAGACCCTCCAGGGCTAGTTTCAGGCTTTCGCAAGAGCCACCAAGGCTCTGATTTTCGAGTAAAGACCTGTCCATTTCTACGATGAGTTTGTCTCTTTCTTCCTGAAGAAGGGCTAACTTTCCCAGGAATGCATCTTTCTCCTTATTTTGAACAGAAAGTTGGCTTTCCACATCTGCCAGAGACTCGGTCAGGTGTTCGATGGCATCTCTGGCTGAAGACAGCTCCTCTTGCAGAGTCTTGTTTTCTTTCAGAGCATCCTTGCGGGAGATGAGGGCAGCCTGCAGTTTCCTCTGTATTTGCTGCTTTGCTTTAGTTTCTTCCTCAGCCTGCTCCGACTTCTGCTTCAGTTGACAAAGCTCCACCTGGGACTGCTTTAGCCTCTCTTCATTCTCCTTGGCTTGCATTTCCAGCTGTGTGTGCAGGGCCTTGATTAAATGTTCCTGCTCTATCATCTCTGCCTGGACTTTTGTGAGGGTCTGTTCTTTCTCACTAAGCTGCCCAGAAAGGTAGCTGACCTCTTCTTCCTTCTGGCACATGAGTTTCTGCAGCTCATCTAGTTCAGGCTGTAACATTTTCAGATGCTCCAGGCCAGCAAGTTTCAGTTGGCTGCTTTCCAATTCCTGCTGCAGGATTTCTGCGTGAGCCTCGGCATCCTGGGATGTAGCCTTCAAAGTCTGGATTTCTAAGCGCTGTTTACTTATCTGTTCTTGTAACAGATATACTTCTTCTGATTTCTTAGTCAGCTCTCTTGCTGTAGCACTCACTTTCAATTCTAGCCCTTCTTTCTCTATGTCCATTTCTATCAACTGGGCCTTAATTTGGGCAATAGAAACAGTACCCTGGAGAGCTTCTTCATCTCCAGAGTGAGAAGGCTGAGTGATCGGTAAATTAGACTCTGTGGCAAGTTGGGCAGGCTGCTGTTCCGTGTCTTCGAGGGAAACCTCTTCTAACCCTTGAATGGGAAGACCAGGTTCCCACTGGTCAGTGCCTGGAAGTTTTCTGTCCGAGGACTCCTTCACCTCACTCTGGAGTTGCCGAAGCTGGTCCCCCATTTTCTCATTTTCCTTACTTTGCTTATCGCACTTCTCCTGAAGGAGGCTATAAGCATCCTTCTGTTTCCCGAGCTCTTCCTTTAGACGTTTCTCTCTCTCTTGTGCTTTTTTCAGAATCACCTTGCGGGAAGTTAAGGCTTCTTGAAGCTTCTTTTGAAGTTGTTCTTTTTCTTTTTCCAGGTCTGATATCTTTCCCTCCAGGGCTGGCATCCAGTGTTCCCCACCGCCTGCACTGGGCGGGCTGCTCACCAGCGTTCCCTTCACAGGTGCTGCCGAGTCAGCATCCCCAGCATCTTGGGCACCTGTGGTTAGTTTCTGAATAGTAGTTTGGTTTTCAGTGATCTCTGCTTGAAGCAAATCTATTTGCTTTGTCTTATCTTCCAGGTTCTGAATCATCTGTTGGACCATAGCCTGTAGTTCTTGTTCGGCTGCCGTCTTCTCTTTCAGATCTCTCTTTACGTGCTCTAGCTCCACTTCTACTTCTCGGCACTGAGAAGTTTCACATTTTCCCAGGCCATCTTTGCTCTCGCCATCTGCCTCCGGTGCTCTCTTCTCACCCTCCCCAGATTTCTCTTTCACCTTGGCTAACTCCCCCTCCAGGACACTGACTTTTTGCAGGAGCTGCTTTCGGTGAATAAGCGCTGCCTGGAGCTTCCTCTTCCTCAGCTCGTTCTCTTTCTTCAGGAGCTCCAGTTCCTGCTGAAGCCCCTCATTACTCTGCATCCCCGCCGGGCTGGACTCATCATGGCTATGATTAGAAGCAGCTCCCTGCTTTTCTCCCACCTCCTCCGTTTTAGCTTCTTCAGCTCTGGACAATACATTGAGCTGCTCCTTCAGAGTCTTAATCTCAACCCCAAGAGAGAACTTCTCTTCATTAAGCTGAACCATTTTCTCTGTCATACTGAAGCTAAGTTCTGTCACCTGCTGGTCCTTCTCCTGGATGGTTTGCTGGAGGGTCTCCACAGCTTTCTTTGTCTCTATCAAGAGCTGGTCCATTCTGGCTAGTTCTAGTTCTTTCTGTGCCAGAGCCTGTGAAACTTCTTCCATTTTATCTGAGATGTTGTTCACGTGTTCCACCCCCTCTAGCACCTCACTCTCCTTTTTCTGCAGCTGGATTTGCAGGGTTTTTATCTGTGCATCCTGTTGAGAACACTGTATTTGCGCATCATCCAGTTCTCTCTGTAAAGCCTCAATCTTTACATCCTTAGATTTGGCTTCTATGCTTAGGCTGTGGATCTGTTCTGTGAGCAGGTCGTACTGTGTTTTCTGGCTCTCATAGTCCAGACCTCTTTGTTTTTCTGCTTCTGCGAGGCTACCTTCCAGCTCTCGGACCTGAGCCCTCAGCTCAGCCAAGACATTAAGCTCTTTTACCTGAGAAAGCAGCTGGTCCCGTTCCTCAGATAAAGTAGAGAGCACACTGCGGGCATTCTCCTCGTTCTTCTTAAATTCGCCAATAAGCTGGGTTAGGCTGCTAATTTCTTTAGCTTTCTCCTCTAAATTTTTCTCATAAATCTCCTCTGCCTTATGAAGGCTTGCCTCAAGTTCTAAAATTTGAGTTTTCAAACTTTCCAACTCACTCTGGTGACACCGGCAAAGATCTGGTACAGAGGGGGATTTGTCCACACCACCCAGCTTTGTGGGGTTCAGATCCACTGTGTTGTCATTTGGAGAACTTGCCTCAGATGGTGGAGGCTGATCTTTAGTGCTTGCCTGTTCTTCTTTTTCAGTTGCTGGGACACTGCCCTCTTCACTAAGCATGAAGGGGATGTCTCCTGCTGTTACTAAAGGTGACCCTTCACTCTCTATCAGCTTCACTTCCCCATCAGACCTCTTGTCCTGAAGCTGCGACTTAAGAAATGTGATTTCCTCCTGAGCTTCCTTCATTTCCACTAATAAAAGTGCCAGTTCTTTATGTTTCTGAGAAAATGTGTTCTCTGGGCCATCCTGATCACTTTCTTTGGTCAAAGAATTGCTCTTGTTAAACTGAGTAGCATCAGGGACCTATTAAAAAAAGAAACAAGTGACACCAGGGAAGACCTTAACCAAACATTTCATATAGCATTAAATGTAGCCACCACAAACTAGCATTTCATGAATTTTCTAAAACTTGCAACCTTCTGGTCCAAAGTTCTTTTATACCACAAAACTACTAAAATTTGTAAAACTGCTTTCCCCAAACTGAATGTGTAGGATTCAGACAAGCTCAACTCCCAGGGCTCTTTCTACTCAAAAGGCCCAAGGAAGCTTGGGATCCATTTTCCAGATATTTCCAATGTGAAACCATTCTGCTTCTAGGTTAAAACACCTAGTTATTTCTCCTAAGAATTGCTTTTCAAAAAGCAGGCAATGAATTAAAAACCCTATCCCACACCAAGGAGTAAGCTATGAGATTTCTTTTCCTAAGCAATTTTGTGAAATAGGAAAGTTGTAAAATTAAAATAAGCATTAACATTGACAAGTGGACTACCAAACAAGTAAATGCAAATGAAATTACCAGAGTCAAAAAAAAAAAAAAAAAAAAAAAAAACCATCAGCTCTGCTGATGCCCGGGTGTGACATGATGGATCAGTGTGGCAAGCATGAGACAAATTATTAGACTATGGTGTTAGGCTACTCAATCCATTGATGTTTGCTTGTGGAAAAAAAACTAGCCAGTCTCATGAGATATATTTAATTAGTTTAGGTTCAGTAAGAAACCCTGCCTCAAAAAACACATTGGAGAGAAACCAAGGAACAAACCTGGCAGTGGCCTCCGATCCACACACACACACACACACACCACATACAGATGCACACAAAGAGAGGGGTGGGGGGATGTGGGCATGGCTCACTGGAAACAGTTCTTGTTGAGCAAGCATGGGAACCTGAGTTTAGATCCCCAGCACCCATAAATGCCAGGGATGGTAGCATGGTAGTACCATTTTTCTTAAGTATCTTCTTGATAATTTAGAATTCTTTGCTCTCTACATGATTGAGACCATACTTCATAGCGCTCTAAACTAGACTCAGTACTAGACATGAGAAACTCCTCTATAACATTTTCATGCCATATTCTCATGTTCCCTATAGATAGGAGAGTCCGATGCAGAAAAAAAATCATCCATCACTGGGTTTAATGTAACTTACTGCTTTTGTTCTGTTACCCAAAGTGCTGCTATTTCCTCTTTCATTCTCTTTCCTCACTCCCTACAGTATCTACAGAGTTCACTCTTTGTTACAATGGGTAACCCTATACCCATGCATGTATCAGTAATACTAACTGACCTAGTTGGCTATCAAAAAGAGAAAATGACATGAAATTGGAAGAGTGATATGCTAGGGAGATATGGGGGGAGTTAGAGGAGGGAAATTGGGGTAGATATAATTAAATACCATACACATATGTACATGTATGAACTTCACAATAGGAGAAAATTTCAGGTTACAAAAGCCACACTTTTGTAAAGGCTCCTTTGAAATATAATCCTTAGTAAAAATTGTCAACTGCAAGATACGAGAAATTCAAGAGATTTTGTTTAATCTCTACCAAGAAACAAGCTGTGTGTGGTTTGAATTGATTGTCCTCCACAGGTCTGTGTAGTTCAACACTTGGTCCCCAGTTGGATCCCAGCTATTTGGTGAGGCTTAGGAGGTGTGGCCTTGTTGGAGGAAGTATGTCACTGGAGGCGGGCTTTGAGAGTTAGAAAACTGGAGCCATCTCTAGTTCACTCTCTCTGCTTCAAGCTCATGATGAAGGATGTGATTGAGTTTCTTCCTGCCCTGCAGCCATGCTGGCTGCTTGCTTGCTTGCCATGTACCATGATGGACTCTTACCCTCTGGAACTGTAAGCCCAAATAAATTCTTTCTTTTTTTAGCTGTCTTTGTCATTGTGTCTTATTTCCAGCAACAGAAAAAGTAGCTATTACACCAATATTCCTATATTTGTGTTGGTTTAGGACAAAGATTTCTAACTATTTGGAAATAAGTAAAAAGTCTAATCATTATGAATCTCTCTTAAATGTTATTTCACTCCATGGGTAATATAATTTTCTGTTAGCACTAACAACTGTTGGAGTTATCCCTTCCTAATCTAGGTCCCAGTGTGACTGAACCAAGTGGTCACTTACCTCAGAGACTGCACCATCAGTCTCCCCTGCTCTATTCTGAGCCTCCAGAAGAGCAATTTGAGAAGACAGTTTTTCTGAAAGTCAAAAAGTAGTATCTTTAGACAAGCTATGTGGAGCATTTGAAAAAACAATGATGTAGTTACACTAAGGCTACTTGAGATGCACAAAATAATGAGGAAGAAATAAGCAAAGTAGTTTGAGGCTGGAAGTACCAAAAGAGTATGCGATATCAGACATAATAAACTCAGTATGATAATGGTCATGAGAGACATATTCTAAACAGTGAAAGGTTTGAAAGGCGATAGATGCAAAGATATGTGAAGTGGGACAGTTATTGCTGTAGTAAAATCTGGAATTCTACCGTCTTAGTTTATCCACAATTTTGTTTGAATTGTGGATTTTTCCACGATTGCACTTACAATGTCCTAATGTTTTTATTTTTTAACAGATGTTTAGACATTAAAGTTGAGCACTAAAAAGGAGCTATGCAATCTCAACAAGCAAATGATGACATGATGGGAAGGGGTTACATAGCTGTATAGACAGCTGGAATTAGAATCCAGGTCTTAACTCTGACATAGGGTAGCAATGCTCTGGAAGAGAAAACTGTAACACTGACACTAGTACCTCCAAAGAGCTTCTTGCATTTCTTCTGATAAACTGATTTCACTAAAGAAACTAATTACACTATTGGAGCTCTTGTGTTTGGACGCTTATCCTCCAACCTCTTGTATTGCCACCTTTGTTTACTCTACTACAAAAACCCAGGGCTCCATTCTGTTATGCAAACACATCAAATTCATTCACACATCACATTGTTCTGCTCTTTTCTCTGATTGAAATGTTCTTTGCATGACTGCCCCTCTTTTAGTCATTCAAATGTCAAGTTCCCAGAGAGACTGAGCCTGACCTCTAGCACTGCCTTCCTCTTACCTGTGATTTACTTGAAGTACCTGATTTTACTTTTACCCTAACATCTATTACTCTAAAATGTTCTTTTTGTGTACATGTTTATGGCCTGTCCTAACATGTTCATAGCTGTATCCTCAGCAAGTAGAATATTGCCTGGCTTCATAGGAAAGGGAGAGTATTCACGAAACAAATGAATTCAAGACAGTATATATGATAAGCTCAGACATTTCAAACCCCAAGAAAGGGGTATAGCTGTAGACATGGCAGTACAAAAATTGACATGACACCAATGCAAAGGCAATTTATGATAGCAGACACAAAAGCCAGGACAGAAAACTCACAGGACCTGCAAAGCACATGAAAACCACACAAACAGGAGAGGGACTACTTTCAAAATGGTACAACAAGAATCAAGGATAAAACATCAAAAAAGTCCTTTAAGTGGGTGAAGCAGTAAATTGAATTGTGGCTTAACTGGCAAGGGCAGGAATATTTTTAATAATTATGTACTATGCATAATTTCCAGAGCCAAGTGGAAAACTATAAATGGTTACATGGAGATATTGGATCTAGTTTTATAAAGGTTGCTTAGTGTCCACTCTTACTCCAAGATGATACAGCACAGAAATCAGATGCTCTGGAGCAGAGCTTCTCAAGGGGTCTTTGCGGGGGTTGAATGACCTTTTCACAGGGGTTGCCTAAGATCACTGGAAAACACAGATATTTATATTACAATTCATAACAGAAAATTTACAGTTATGAAGTAGCAACACAAATAATTTTGTGGCTGGGGGGGGGGTCACCACAACATGAGGAACTATATTAAGGGGTCTCAGTGTTAGGAAGGTTGAGAACCACTGGTCTAGGTGAATGAGAACAATAACACATTATCAGCATGCCACTGCATTGAGGAGGTTCTTACAAAGCACACCGTAGACAGAAGACAGGTTCATTCTCACTGACTACTCACATAGACCAGTAGAGTGAAGTGCTACAAAAAAAATTATTCAGCAACTGTTAACTTTGCCAGGTGCCAGGTGTTACTAAGTTTAGTAAAACAAACTAAAAAAAGTCCTCTGCCCTTAAAGAGCTCATACCATGTCTTCAGGAGGCTTACAAAAAAAAAAAAAAGATAAACACATAAACAGACCATCCTAATACTTTAGTGATGGCATAAAGGATGTTACGGGAGCACAAAGCACTTAACCCAGGATGAAGATTGAATTCCCAAAAAAGACTAGGAGGAGGAGTAAGAAAGAGTTCAAGCAAGATGTGAACATGAGCAAAAGCCAACAGGGAGGCCACCTTTAACTTACTGATTTCTCTTGCCTCCTTCCTTTCCTCATTCTGCCTATTAAAAAAATTCAACATCTTAGGATAGTTCAACATGAGTCATGCTTCCTAGAAGACACTGTTGCCATTCCCAAATGAACGGACACAGTTCACAAACCCTGCAGCATTTGTGGTGCCTACCCTAAAATGTACAGCATTATGCTCAGCTACTTGTTTACACTGTTAGTTTTATCTTGGTAAGTGCCAGCTCTGCTCCCTGAGATCCTCAGAGTATAGAGTCAGAGGGACAGCATGTATACAGTGCTAAGAGCAGAGGTGCTTCTGGGGTAAGAAGGCAGAATTTCAGTTTTTATTCATGCATACCATTCTCAGCTTTTAGCTCCTCCAGCTCTACGGTACGAAGGAGCAAGGCTCCCTTTTCATTCTCTAGCTCCATTACTCTCTTCTGCAAAGAGGCGATATTCTCCTCCGTGACTGCCTAAAGTATAGAGAGACAGCAAATTAATGACTACCTGGAAAGCTCTTCCACTGATGTCCAGAGGGCCTCAAGCACTTGTATCAGCTCAAAGTTCTCCAGCCATGAGGATGCTTTAGCATTTCATTAGGTATAAATTGCACATTTACACTCTGTAATACTCATTAGAGCCCTTCAATACAGCAAATATAAATACATCATACAGAAATTCACATTTAATTACCTGTATGCCCTCATTATAAACATCTGGTAAAGAAGTCTGAGATGCTGTTTCATGTTTTTGCAAGTTTGGTATGTTTACAAATTGGCTAATTTCTTTAGATTTTTGCTGGAGTTGATCTAAGGAAAAGAAAACAAACATGTGACATCTGAGTAAAACAAAACACAATGAAGTGATATCTGCTTCTAGTCTGAACCTAAGCTATTACCCTCTAAGGATACACCTTTACTAGTTCAGTTACTTAAGATTATAATGCCAATCACATTTTTAACTGTTTGGACCGAAGAGCATCTCAGTAAACTACATTCTTCAAAGGAAAAATAAGCACATGACATGTTACAGAGTCATAAAGAAACTGCTATTTGCATCAAAGTGGATAGAACAGGGGAACTTCATGTCAAGTGCAGGAAGCCAGAGAACCACACATTTTCTCTCCCCATGGGAATCTCAGAAAGGATATTAATTACTAGGCACTTGGGAAGGAGAGGACGTTTGAGAACACACTGCATGTATGGAATTGTCATACTGAATGCTGTTAACATGCACACCTGATACATGTTAGTAAAGAAAGGCCTAGACATTTAAAATATTCCTTTTTCTTTTCCCCCTTAAAAAATGGCTTTAGTGGAGTCAGGTGTTGGTGGCGTACACCTTTAATTCCAGCACTCAGAAGGCAGAGGCAGGCGGATCTCAGTGAGTTCAAGGCTTCTCTGGTCTACAGAGTGAGTTCAGGACAGCTAGGGCTATGCAGAGAACCCTATAGTGGTTCATGTTTACATTCTTCACACAGAATGTAAGTATTATGAGCCCTCCAGGAGTGCCCAGCAGGGTTTTAAACATGTGCACGGTTCATGGAAAGGGACCATGTACTTGGATAGTTCCCTTTTCCCTCATGATGCTGTCTATATATCCTGGTGGACAACCAAGCTTTTGTAGTTGTTTGCAACTTACTTCTTTCAAGACTCTTCCAGGGCCATGCACATTCCTGTCTGCCAGTATTAGGTTGATATTTTGAGGGAGGCTTGTGACATGGAGTTTGGTGTTCAGGGAGTTGCACATTTTTTATAAACTTCTATAATGTCAAACTTTTAGAGAAATTTTCAATTTTAATAAGATATTTTAAAATGTTTCTTATTAGAGGACAAACGTTTTCTTTAACAGGAAATTTTCACAGGACAAACGTTTTCTTTAACAGGAAATTTTCACCTATCATAAAATCAGGAAACTCTAGAGTTATGGATGACTTCTTGAGTTTAGTCTGGGTACCTACACCATCTGGCCTGACATTTCCAGAGACAATTTCCATTCCTACTCATGGCAGTCACTGCACTCTTCCGGTCAGCCATGTGATCGTTCACACATGACTACACAGGAACTGGACAGAGTACATCAGGTTTTAGTGCTGTGACAATAATGTTAAGACTATTGCCTTGAGAGGCAAGGAGAACAGACCTGGCCAGAAGAGGTGTCTTTTGTAGCCACTAACAGAGCCCTATAGGTAGAAAGTACCCATTCAGGAGCTAGAGACGTGGCTTCAAAAGCCACCAAACACTGACCTTCCAGCTGCTCGATGGCCTGAGCTAACTCGGCAGCCTGTTCACTCTTTTTTCGGAGAAGTTCTGAGTTTTCCTCCTTTAGGGCATCACAGGTGGACTGCAGCTCTTGCTCGGTCTTCTGGAGGCTCAGAATATAAGCATTCTTCTCTTCCATTTCTGCTCTATGTCTCTGCTCGAGAGCGCTGTACTGAGTCTCCAGCTCAGCCTGGGCTCGGCCCGCTCGCTCCAGCTGTCCCTGAAGCTGATGCGTCTCTTCCTGCAGGTTATGGAAGGATAATTTTCCCTCTGCCACTTCAAGTTCTACCTTTTCCATCAGAGTCTTGGATTCCTGTCTCTCTGTTTCTATGGTATTCTTTAAAGTACTTTTTTCAGCTTCCAACTGCTGTAACTGCTGTGAGAGTGTCTAAAAAACAAAAACACAAACACAAACCATCATGATGAATATTTTCATTCAGGGACCACACTGACACACTCCTAGAAGCCAGCAAGTAGCACCAATTCTATGGCACGACACCCTCCATGTTGGTTTCCGGACATTTTGGACCCTTTGTACTCATATTTACCTTGTATCGGTATTTTTTTTCTTTGTTTTTGCCTCTCCCATTAGAAAATATGTTATATGAGGGAGGCTCTTTGTTTCTTCCTTACTAGTCTCTAGCTCCAGCATAGTCCAAGGCAAAGTGGACTCAATACACAATGAATAAATCTAGTCCACGCCTAGGAGGGATTCAGGATTCAGGCACAGAGACAGGTTGAGCATCATACAAAAGCAAAGAGGGCGCTAGAAGGATATCTGCAAAGTGTTTGCAGCAAGAGAGCCCTGGGGAAGGAACTGTGTTTGCTTTACCACTGTGCCACCAGCAGGTAAGCACTCAATGTTTGCCCAAAAGAATGACTAGATGGCACTAACTCTCCAACGTCTTAATGGTTTTTATGCCTGCTGCCCAACAACTTAAAGTAGAACCAGCCATGCCCTGGCAGGTAGTGGGACCACAGATAGTACCTCGTTTTTCTGTTCGGCCAAAGTCAGCTCCCGCTGCAAAAATTCCACAACCTGAGCACGGCCCAATAAGGCTTCTTCGTGTTCCTCAAGCTTCCTTTGCATCACCCTCAATTTCTGGAAAGAAACATTTAGACATAATTACAGATAAATAAGCACGATTATTTGCCTACCTTCCAAAGTGATATGTGCACCTATAAGGCTACGCTTTAGAATGTGGAAGAAAGGGCTAAGTAGGACACCAGCATGCCATGACCCATCCAGCAGCAAGAGAATGTCCAAAATGCCTTCTCTAGAGCGTGACAACAACCAAACCCAAATGCAAGCAAGGCCTTGAATCAGGCAGCCTAATACACAAGATAAAATGACACACTCACGTTCAAAATTACATAGTTCCTGTCCTGTCCCTAAGTAGCATAGGTAACATGCATTTCTTACCTACAAAAGAGAGCAATCTTTATAGGCAAAACCAATTCTCTTCTGTTTTCAATCACAGGGCAGGCACTTGAAAAATACCCATTGAATAAATAAATCAATATATATAATTAATAGTCTATTTTTCAAAGCAGTGCAGTCTGAAACTCTACTTAGAAGTACATTCTGAAATACTGCTTAGAACTTGGAACAAGGTTTCACTACTCAAGAACAAAGAGAAGAAGGCTGGAAAGGCGGCACAATTGGCCAAGTGCTTGTGAGGACTTGTGTTCAATCCCACAGTTCAAAAAAAAAAAAAAAAAAAAAAAAAAAAAGCCAGACCAGGTGAGTCCCAGACTGAGGAGGCAGAATCAGGGTTCCCAACACTTGTTGGTCAGAGCTAGGCCAATGAGAGGCCCCATCTCAGAGGGGAAAAGTACCAAGGCAAATAGCTCCTTAGGAAGGAATGACATCCAAGGTTGTCCTCTGGCTTCCACACACATGTGCATGTGTGCATGCACACCTGTGTGCATAAACATGCACTTGCACATACAAGAACACACTTATACAAACACAGATCAAACAAAGTGCCTTTCATTCCAGGGCTCTACATTCTACGTGTACACAATGTGAGTTAGTACATGGCAAACTCAAATACAATGAAGTCAATTCTTAGTATCTAATCAATGAACTTTAAAAATACCAATTTAATAAAAGACTGTGCCTTCAAAATCACTTTTTAACCTCATTTTTTTTTTTTAAATACAAAACCGACTTCATTTATTTGAAGTTTGGAATTAGAGTAGAGCATGAATGGTAGCTGTAAATCAGCAAATGAAAAAGAAACCAGCCCACTGCTGACTCTCACAGAAGTCCCCAAGTAAATTTAGATTGAAAGTTCCAAGTTCCAACCTGATGAGATGAGGAAAAAGGGAAAGCAAGGACAAGGCACAAAATGAAATGCAACGGAAGTCAGGACACCCATAAGAAGCCAAGAAACACATGGAGGTCACATGGAGCACAGCAGGGAAGGGCAGTGGTTGGAAAGTGGCTGTGAAGTCTTGATTAGATGTTAACCAAAATGGCAGTCGTTCTACGGAGTGTGAGCAACACACCTGTTGCATCTCTGTTTCCACATCTGACTGGGTTACTAACTGAAGAAGTTCATCTTCGTGGAGACGAACCTGCGTTTCAAAGCGGGCATCTTTCTCTCGGACCACCTGCTGCATGGAACTCAACTGAGGACACACACCAGAGAAACTGTACAAGTTACACTACAGAGTATTTCACAGACAACTCTCAGCCTACCCTTCAAAGATGGGCACGCAACACCCACAGAAAGCAGTTAGTTCTCTAAACCTCACCTCTGAATGTCAGGGGTGAGATGCTGGAAGATCAAGAGGCTCAGCAGTAATGAGACATGATGAAAAAGCCTACTATAGAACTCAGAATCAAGTCATATAGAATTTTAATTAAAAATCTTCATGGACACTAGAAATGCTTTAAATATGCAAGAGTATTTTTTAATTCTGGAAAGATTAGAAAATTAGACATACAAGTGAAGTGAAATTTCTGTTAACCCCTCATACTTCTCTCAGCATCAGACTCATGTTCAAAAATAGTCCTGGAACCTCACACCTGTAAACGAGCTACCAAGCTCATGAACATTATGCAAAATGCTCTACAAGTAGAAATACGAGCCTATTCTTTCTTGTAGTTTTCAAAAATTTGCTTTGATTAAAGAACTGTGTGCTTCCAAGGGCATGCCCCTCCCCAGAAAGCCATGTGCAGCTGTCACTCCTGCAGACTTTCCCTTTAATGCATTCTTTTCTGCCTTTCTCAATTCTGCCCCACAAGAATGCTACTGTCTAGAGAGTCACCTAGCTCTCACAGTTCTGTTTAAATCCATTTTTTTGAGTGTGTAAGCTTCTATAACCATCATGTTTATAAAACACATTTTCTCTCTCAAAATACTTTGATGCTAATGTTTCTTTTATCATTTTTATTTTTTGAGATAGTCTCAACTGTATAGCCTGGGCTAGCCTGGAACTTTCCATGAAGCCAATACTGTTGTCAAACCCATGATCCAGACCTCAGTCTGAATGCTAATAATGGCTTTGGCCTTTGGTATTTTTTTTTTTTTTTTTTGGTGGGGGTGGCTTGTTCCACGATGGATCTGTTAATATATTCATATGCCTTTGTTTTAAGCAATTTCTACAATTAAAAATGTATGACATTTTCTTAGCCTACACTATATATAATACATCAAATACCAACAGAAGCTAATAGGATAAAAATTATCAGTTTCTGGGTGTATAATTCTGTGCATACACCATCGGGCATTCCTACAAAAAAGACACCTCTGTTTACCAATATATCTGATGGATAAGATCACTATGCAAAGGGCTCCCCATGGGGGGATAAAAATGTGGCATGACCCAAAGGCATCCTCAAAGGAGAACTACGCGGTAGGTTGTTGGACAAGAAACTGAGAACAACAGAGAGTTGAGGGTGCTGGTGCAAACAGGCTGGCTCTGGCTTCAGAAATGAGTATGAAGAATGGTGAATGCCAGAGCCATTAGAAGGGATTTCACACCCTTTACCACTTCTTTATTTTATGCCCATTAATTAACTTTACTGTTAAGATGTATCTTCCTAATATGATTTTAATTAGAAAAGAAGGGAACTAATGATTTGTACTTCTTTGCTTTATCTATCAGTTTCCTTGGAGTTCATCATGAGCCCACTCTCAAGAGACAGAGTTTCTGTGTGCTATTAAAATGGAGTATCTGGCTCTAAAGAACAAAAACAGTCATCAAAAAAGCTGTTGTAAGTTCACCAACAGAAATAGCACCTTCTGAGATGTTCTGGTGTTGCCTATTAATATATGTATCACTTACCATACTTCTAACTCCTTCTACCATACCCTCCTAGGGTTGGCTTTAGTATCCTAGCTACCATACTTTCATCTACCAAGCTGGGACTGGCTTGCCACATACACCATTCTGGACCCTATGGACTTTACCCTAACGGAGGCACCATCACCTCACCTGAGCCGCTTGCTCTGCCTGTGTCTGGCTGAGCTGGGTTTGCAGAGTGTGAATGAGGTCTTCCTTTTCTTGAAGCTGCTGCTTCATCAGGACAAACTCCTCCATCTCTGCAGAACTCTTATCCAACTAAGGGAGAAAATATTTACTAAGCAAAGCGTCTGGCATTACTTATTTGACTCTAGTTGTCTACAATACCTGCCATATTCCTTCTAATTTCCATTTTAACACACAAAAAGTGTGTGTGTGTGTGGGGGGGACTCTATGCATATGCTGCATAGTTTCTATCAACTGAACACATGAAACTACAAAGATCTTTATTTCATCTTAGTATTATTTAACTGAAATTTAAGGCTGAGTTATAAATTATTTTTCATTACATACAGGTTTTTTCTTTGACTATGTGACTTTATATCTGTTACATCAGTTGAGATTTTTCAAAAATGATTTTTAAGTTTATATGTATGGAGTTTATGTACACCACATGTATATAGGTACCAGTTGAGGCCAAAGGGCATCAGGAACTAGAGTTACAGATGGTTCTGACCACCGGATGCTGGTGCTGGGAACCTAACCTGGGTCACCTGCAAGAGCAGTGCTCTTAACCACCGAGCCATCTCTCTAACCCCTCAAGTGAGATTCTGCTAATGGGGTGTGCATTGACCAGTGTATCAGCTGATGTCGACAAGTTGATTCACTTTGAATGATTTTTTGCTACACTTGCATGTAATATTGTAATGTGTTTATCTGAAAAGTTAATGCAGATGGCATTAGTAAGAGTTGATATCCAGATAACCAGAGAATAAACAAAGTTAATTTTTACCCTAACAGAGGCACCACACCTCACCTGAGCCGCTTGCTCTGCCTGTGTCTGGCTGAGCTGGGTTTGCAGAGTGTGAATGAGGTCTTCCTTTTCTTGAAGCTGCTGCTTCATAAGGACAAACTCCTCCATCTCTGCAGAATTCTTATCCAACTAAGGGAGAAAATATTTACTAAGCAAAGCATCTGGCATTACTTATTTGACTCTAGCTGTCTACAATACCTGCCATATTCCTTCTAATTTCCATTTTAACACTCAAAAAGTGTGTGTGTGTGTGGGGGGGGACTCTATGCACATGCTGCACAGTCTCTATCAACTGAACACATGAAACTACAAAGGTCTTAAAATGTGATGCCTCCAAAATAAGTATTTCATCTTAGTATTTAATAAAGTTTTATTTTTCCAAATGTACAGCCGATTGAACCTGTTTATGCATCTTCACCAGCAGCTGGGGCATCTCTACCCTTTGTGTTTCTGGTATAAATTACTTGGACTCTGTGCTTTGAAACTAGCTTGATAAGTCCTTTACTAAGCAGCTCCTGAAGGGCTGCTCTGGCCAAGGAACCTTGAATCTTCGGTCTCTCAGAGACCACGGTCAGAGTAATAAGCTTATAATTGGGTACTTCCTTGCAGAGTTTGTTGTATGTAGCTTTGTCAAACAGAACTAGGTTGTTGAGCTTGTCCTGAACCTTACCTTTGGACCACTTCTTTTTGGCCTTGCCACCAGACTTGTTTACTGGGTCTTTGTCTTTCTTGGCTGACTTTCCGGCATCTTTCTTTTTCTTGTCACCCTTAGGTGGCATGATGAAGCTCTGAGAGTGACCTAAATTATTTTTCATTACATATAGTTTTTTTTTTTTTTTTTTTTTTTTTTTTGTCTGACCATGTGGCTTTTTATCTGTTACATCAGATACACACATTTTAAACTGTGTGTGTGTGTGTGTGTGTGTGTGTGTGTGTCTGCATGAGTTTATGTGCACCACATGTATTCAGGTACCAGTTGAGGTCAAAGGGCATCAGGAACTAAAGTTACAGATGGTTCTGACCACCGGATGCTGGTGCTGGGAACCTAACCTGGGTCACCTGCAAGAGCAGTGCTCTTAACCACCGAGCCATCTCTCTAACCCCTCAAGTGAGATTCTGCTAATGGGGTGTGCATTGACCAGTGTATCAGCTGATGTCGACAAGTTGATTCACTTTGAATGATTTTTTTGCCATACTTGCATGTAATATTGTAATGTGTTTATCTGAAAAGTTAATGCAGATGGCATTAGTAAGAGTTGATATCCAGATAACCAGAGAATAAACAAAGTTAATTTTTACCCTAACAGAGGCACCACACCTCACCTGAGCCGCTTGCTCTGCCTGTGTCTGGCTGAGCTGGGTTTGCAGAGTGTGAATGAGGTCTTCCTTTTCTTGAAGCTGCTGCTTCATCAGGACAAACTCCTCCATCTCTGCAGAACTCTTATCCAACTGGAGGGGAAAATATTTACTAAGCAAAGCGTCTGGCATTACTTATTTGACTCTAGTTGTCTACAATACCTGCCATATTCCTTCTAATTTCCATTTTAACACTCAAAAAGTGTGTGTGTGTGTGGGGGGGGGACTCTATGCGTATGCTGCATAGTTTCTATCAACTGAACACATGAAACTACAAAGATCTTTATTTCATCTTAGTATTATTTAACTGAAATTTAAGGCTGAGTTATAAATTATTTTTCATTACATACAGGTTTTTTCTTTGTCTGACTATGTGACTTTATATCTGTTACATCAGATGAGATTTTTCAAAAATGATTTTTAAGTTTATATGTATGGAGTTTATGTGCACCACATGTATATAGGTACCAGTTGAGGCCAAAGGGCATCAGGAACTAGAGTTACAGATGGTTCTGACCACCAGATGCTGGTGCTGGGAACCTAACCTGGGTCACCTGCAAGAGCAGTGCTCTTAACCACCGAGCCATCTCTCTAACCCCTCAAGTGAGATTCTGCTAATGGGGTGTGCATTGACCAGTGTATCAGCTGATGTCGACAAGTTGATTCACTTTGAATGATTTTTTGCTACACTTGCATGTAATATTGTAATGTGTTTATCTGAAAAGTTAATGCAGATGGCATTAGTAAGAGTTGATATCCAGATAACCAGAGAATAAACAAAGTTAATTTTTACCCTAACAGAGGCGCCACACCTCACCTGAGCCGCTTGCTCTGCCTGTGTCTGGCTGAGCTGGGTTTGCAGAGTGTGAATGAGGTCTTCCTTTTCTTGAAGCTGCTGCTTCATCAGGACAAACTCCTCCATCTCTGCAGAACTCTTATCCAACTGGAGGGGAAAATATTTACTAAGCAAAGCGTCTGGCATTACTTATTTGACTCTAGTTGTCTACAATACCTGCCATATTCCTTCTAATTTCCATTTTAACACTCAAAAAGTGTGTGTGTGTGGGGGGGGGGACTCTATGCGTATGCTGCATAGTTTCCATCAACTGAACACATGAAACTACAAAGATCTTTATTTCATCTTAGTATTATTTAACTGAAATTTAAGGCTGAGTTATAAATTATTTTTCATTACATACAGGTTTTTTCTTTGTCTGACTATGTGACTTTATATCTGTTACATCAGATGAGATTTTTCAAAAATGATTTTTAAGTTTATATGTATGGAGTTTATGTGCACCACATGTATATAGGTACCAGTTGAGGCCAAAGGGCATCAGGAACTAGAGTTACAGATGGTTCTGACCACCGGATGCTGGTGCTGGGAACCTAACCTGGGTCACCTGCAAGAGCAGTGCTCTTAACCACCGAGCCATCTCTCTAACCCCTCAAGTGAGATTCTGCTAATGGGGTGTGCATTGACCAGTGTATCAGCTGATGTCGACAAGTTGATTCACTTTGAATGATTTTTTGCTACACTTGCATGTAATATTGTAATGTGTTTATCTGAAAAGTTAATGCAGATGGCATTAGTAAGAGTTGATATCCAGATAACCAGAGAATAAACAAAGTTAATTTTTACCCTAACAGAGGCGCCACACCTCACCTGAGCCGCTTGCTCTGCCTGTGTCTGGCTGAGCTGGGTTTGCAGAGTGTGAATGAGGTCTTCCTTTTCTTGAAGCTGCTGCTTCATCAGGACAAACTCCTCCATCTCTGCAGAACTCTTATCCAACTAAGGGAGAAAATATTTACTAAGCAAAGCGTCTGGCATTACTTATTTGACTCTAGCTGTCTACAATACCTGCCATATTCCTTCTAATTTCCATTTTAACACTCAAAAAGTGTGTGTGTGTGGGGGGGGGGACTCTATGCGTATGCTGCATAGTTTCTATCAACTGAACACATGAAACTACAAAGATCTTTATTTCATCTTAGTATTATTTAACTGAAATTTAAGGCTGAGTTATAAATTATTTTTCATTACATACAGGTTTTTTCTTTGTCTGACTATGTGACTTTATATCTGTTACATCAGATGAGATTTTTCAAAAATGATTTTTAAGTTTATATGTATGGAGTTTATGTGCACCACATGTATATAGGTACCAGTTGAGGCCAAAGGGCATCAGGAACTAGAGTTACAGATGGTTCTGACCACCGGATGCTGGTGCTGGGAACCTAACCTGGGTCACCTGCAAGAGCAGTGCTCTTAACCACCGAGCCATCTCTCTAACCCCTCAAGTGAGATTCTGCTAATGGGGTGTGCATTGACCAGTGTATCAGCTGATGTCGACAAGTTGATTCACTTTGAATGATTTTTTGCTACACTTGCATGTAATATTGTAATGTGTTTATCTGAAAAGTTAATGCAGATGGCATTAGTAAGAGTTGATATCCAGATAACCAGAGAATAAACAAAGTTAATTTTTACCCTAACAGAGGCGCCACACCTCACCTGAGCCGCTTGCTCTGCCTGTGTCTGGCTGAGCTGGGTTTGCAGAGTGTGAATGAGGTCTTCCTTTTCTTGAAGCTGCTGCTTCATCAGGACAAACTCCTCCATCTCTGCAGAACTCTTATCCAACTAAGGGAGAAAATATTTACTAAGCAAAGCGTCTGGCATTACTTATTTGACTCTAGCTGTCTACAATACCTGCCATATTCCTTCTAATTTCCATTTTAACACTCAAAAAGTGTGTGTGTGTGTGGGGGGGACTCTATGCGTATGCTGCATAGTTTCTATCAACTGAACACATGAAACTACAAAGATCTTTATTTCATCTTAGTATTATTTAACTGAAATTTAAGGCTGAGTTATAAATTATTTTTCATTACATACAGGTTTTTTCTTTGTCTGACTATGTGACTTTATATCTGTTACATCAGATGAGATTTTTCAAAAATGATTTTTAAGTTTATATGTATGGAGTTTATGTGCACCACATGTATATAGGTACCAGTTGAGGCCAAAGGGCATCAGGAACTAGAGTTACAGATGGTTCTGACCACCGGATGCTGGTGCTGGGAACCTAACCTGGGTCACCTGCAAGAGCAGTGCTCTTAACCACCGAGCCATCTCTCTAACCCCTCAAGTGAGATTCTGCTAATGGGGTGTGCATTGACCAGTGTATCAGCTGATGTCGACAAGTTGATTCACTTTGAATGATTTTTTGCTACACTTGCATGTAATATTGTAATGTGTTTATCTGAAAAGTTAATGCAGATGGCATTAGTAAGAGTTGATATCCAGATAACCAGAGAATAAACAAAGTTAATTTTTACCCTAACAGAGGCGCCACACCTCACCTGAGCTGCTTGCTCTGCCTGTGTCTGGCTGAGCTGGGTTTGCAGAGTGTGAATGAGGTCTTCCTTTTCTTGAAGCTGCTGCTTCATAAGGACAAATTCCTCCATCTCTGCAGAATTCTTATCCAACTAAGGGAGAAAATATTTACTAAGCAAAGCGTCTGGCATTACTTATTTGACTCTAGTTGTCTACAATACCTGCCATATTCCTTCTAATTTCCATTTTAACACTCAAAAAGTGTGTGTGTGTGGGGGGGGGACTCTATGCGTATGCTGCATAGTTTCTATCAACTGAACACATGAAACTACAAAGATCTTTATTTCATCTTAGTATTATTTAACTGAAATTTAAGGCTGAGTTATAAATTATTTTTCATTACATACAGGTTTTTTCTTTGTCTGACTATGTGACTTTATATCTGTTACATCAGATGAGATTTTTCAAAAATGATTTTTAAGTTTATATGTATGGAGTTTATGTGCACCACATGTATATAGGTACCAGTTGAGGCCAAAGGGCATCAGGAACTAGAGTTACAGATGGTTCTGACCACCGGATGCTGGTGCTGGGAACCTAACCTGGGTCACCTGCAAGAGCAGTGCTCTTAACCACCGAGCCATCTCTCTAACCCCTCAAGTGAGATTCTGCTAATGGGGTGTGCATTGATCAGTGTATAGTTGATGTCGACAAGTTGATTCACTTTGAATGATTTTTTGCTATACTTATATGTAATATTGTGTTTGTATATAATAATGTGTTTATCTGAAAAGTTAATGCAGATGGCATTAGTAAGAGTTGATATCCAGATAACCAGAGAATAAACATAAAGTTAGTTTTTCTGATTCAAAAGTATTTATACATTTTGAGGTCCAAAAGGAAGGCAAACTAATGATATATAATTCATTTTTTTATTTCTAACTAGTACTTTACTGTATAGATATTCCACAGTTTGTTTAGATATTCACCTGTTGATGGAAATGTGAGCTGACTACATTCACACATGATATCCAATGAACACATATTTAAAAAGCCAGGCATGGTGGCTCATGCCTGTAATTCCAGCACTCAGGAGGCTGAGACAAGAGGAATGCTACAAGTTCAAGGAAAACTGGGGTACAATGTTAGACTGTGTCTCCAAAACAACAACAAAAACCATGAAGAATAAGGAGCAGAACAGCATGTTTAAGAAAAGTGTACAGGGCATGAAAAGAAAATTAGAATTAGAAAAGTTAAAAAAGTATTAAATTCATAAAACTAATGTATAAGAAAATGCATTTCAGACAAAAAAAAAGCAAACACAAAACAGGATGCCATGAGTTAAATAAGAAAAAAGGATAGCTCTAAAAAATAATATATAACCAAAAATAAAGGCTAACAAACAGAAATCTGCAAGGAAGAATAATGAAAGCAATGGAGCTGATCAAACACTGTAAACCATGTAATTCCATAGAGCTTCTGACAAGATGTGAACCATATATGGGAAGAATCTACTGAGAATGCTGAGAATGTGCAAATACCAACCGAGAATGCCACTCACCAATGCAAACTCTAATAAGATGACTAGACTTGGAAGTAAGGAAGAGAGGAAGGGCAGGCGGAGAAGGGCTGACTGATGGGGATAGCTACTAATTGTCTAGAAAGAGGCATTTGTCATGTACACCCGTTGGCAGTCAGCGATTTGCTAAGTTAATAATAATGAGGCAACTCACTCCTACCTTCAAGGCTTGTTCTGTCTGTGCCTGGTGAAGCTGGGCTTGCAAGTTACTAATTAATTTCTCCTTTTCCTGAAGTTCGTGTTTTATCTCTTCTACTTTCATCACTTCTGTAGAATTCTTATCAGGCTGAAAAATGCAATAGAGTAAAGTCACTTACTTAAAAGTTATAATATTTATTTTATCTTTTACACTACTTGCCCTTTAGAGACATTTAATTACTGTTTCAGTAAACTGACAGAAGCTCTCAGGAGCCATAAGCAGGAGAATCTGAGTTAGAAACAGCCTTGTCTAGAGTCCCAGAATGACAGAACTACACACAGAAACCCTGTCTCAACCAAACAAACAACAAAACCAGTCAACAAGAACAGGAGCAAGAACCGAACAAAGGCAATGGGCTGGGAAGATAGCTCAGTTTAAGAAAGTTTGCTATACAACCATGAGGACTAGGGTTTGGATCCTAGAACCCACCAACACCTGTTACTCATCCTGAAGGGATCTGACACCCTCTTCTTAGCTCTGCTACCTTTCTGTCTGTCGCTGCCCCCGCCCCCAGCACTCACACTGCACTAAGCACACCATGGTTAAAGGGCTGCTGTGACTGACAGCTGGAGTGTACTGCATCTTCTTTTAGAAATCATTTATTTATTTTAACAGGGAAACAAAATGAGGATATAAGATGCTGACACATTTAAGGCCTGAGGGCTAAGTAGTAAGCTACAGTGAAATGTAGAATATAAAATGGATAAAAAAAAAAATATCCAACAACATGAGTCAAGGGAAGTCTGAAAGAATAAACACAGAAAGAAAAAGGTTAGTGCCTGCCACCACAGCCAGGGGAGGAGAGTTGCCATAGAAACCACAGAGAAAAATACTTCAAAGAAATTACTTGCTTTATAATCAACTTTGAGATGTTAAAGAATCCTATTCTATTCTCCTCCTTCACATGCCCCTGCTGTACAAGAGACTAAATCTAGGACCTTATACACACCGTATAGGTGCTCTTCTCCTGAGCCATCTCCCCAAGGAAAAGCCATGTCTCTGACAGACAAAGCTAAGCAGGGCACTGGGCACTGGGAGCAAGTGCCCTCAAGGACTGTGGCTCACAACGTGAGACCTCCCCTCCCAGAACTAACATTTCTGAGAGGGAGTAGGGTAAAGCTAGGCTGTGTGTAGTGACCCACTGGTATCAGTATAATTTCATAAATGCTCTAAAACCCTGATGTTCCTTGTCTCCTAAACAGATAACTGAATGTGGCTCTGAACAGAAAGCTAAGGAGAATGTACAATGGAACACTATACTCCTCTAAAGACAGCTTTCTTTAGTCCCAAGTGAACACTGTTTTGTGGTGGCAGCTGTTAACCCCGTGAGCCTCCTTACAGGGAGACCAGGTGAGCCGAGCAACTCAGTCCATAGTTCATGAAACATTAATGCACCAGTATTCACTGACAGAAGCAGAGGATATTCTTTATTAGTTAAGGAACAAAAGGATTTCAGAGCAGGGGGGAAAAATCTTAGTGATCATAGTTTTTAATGTTCTAACCAATACTCAAACTCATCACAAAGTATATGCTTCTCCTCACTGTCTCACTTCAGAACTTCTTTCTTCCTGCAGCCCTTTAAACTTCTCCCTAGGAGTCTGGGTAATAACTGCAAACTCAAGCCCACATTTCTGCATGCCTTTGCTCTCCCCATGTGGCCTTCAGTCCAAGCAAACCACAGACTGGGAGGAAAGGGCAGCATTCAAGCTGCATCCTTTCACTACTGCTGACCTGCCCTAACAGGGCCCCTGCCTCAGGAGACACCCAGTCTCTATCCAAGCCTCATTCATACCTTGGAGAGCAGCTCCTCTGCCGTGGGTTTTGTAGGCGAAGCCGCCCCTCCTTGAGCCTTCATCTCTTCCACATGTTTGTTCAAAGCAGTAAGCTTTGCTTTTGTATGAAGTTTTATCTTTTTAATTTTGCTGTCGGCAGCTTTCCGTTCCTCCTGCCATAGAGCAATGAAGACAATAAACAAGTGTTCACTGTTTACCTCGCACACCGCTTACTCGAGGCAAGCAGCATACTACAGAACTTAGGAACCCTTGGAGCAAATAACCTGTCTTTATCAAATGCTAAGCAAATGACTGAACAATACCTGCAGATCATCATCCTTCTGCTGGAGCTGGATGTCCTTCTGTCTAATGATGTCTTTTAACTCCACCACTAACTTCTCTGCATCAGCAAGGCGTTCTAGAATAGCCTGTTGTATGTTATTATCCAAGTCCATGCCAGATTCCTGGGATTTAGACATAAAACAGTAAAAATAATGCACAGGAAAAAGGCAATAATGACCCTCAGGAACTGCCACATCCTCACCTCATCCTCACCTCTCCTTTGAAACCGAGCCCTCTAACAACTAACTAACTACTAACTAATCAACTCCTCAGCAGTTATTCTTGCCATTACAACATAAGCAAGTATTTTATCTAACTTAAAGTATTTGTACTAACTTAAAGCATGTACAGCTGCATGCCAGAAGAGGGCACCAGATCTCATCATAAATGATTGTGAGCCACCTTGTGGTTGCTGGGAATTGAACTCAGGTCCTCTGGAAGAGCAGCCAGTGTTCTTAACCACTGAGCCATCTCTCAAAATAAAGGGAGGCAAGGATGATATACTATTAAGTGGAGTAACACAAAATTTAAAATTAGAAATGAGCTGAGGGCTAGAGATGTGGCTTAGCTGGTAGAGTGAATGCTTCACGTACACTAAGGCCTGACTTCGATTCCCAGCGCTGCATCAGCTGAGCATGGCAGCACACAACTATGATCCCAACTCCCAGAAGGCAAAGGCTGAAAGATCAGGAGTCTAAGGTCATCTCTGGCTAGCCACATAGCAAGGAGGTCAGCCTGGGACACATGAGACCTTGTTCCAAATAAATTAAAATAAATAAAAGAAAATTAAACAAACAAACAAAACCTCATTTGGCTTGCTGCTTGTCTTTCCTAAAACTACTGGACTGCTTTTGAATCATTAAGGATTGAAAAATATACAATGCAAACTACAAGAAAGGTAGGCAAATTTATAGAAGTAAATGTTTTAAAACAAAAATGGTGCTCCAGTCCCCCATTTACTCTTTATACTTTTCCCATGGAACAGGAGTTGTGTGCCCAAGCAGGAGGAAGGGGAGGAGTGGGAGGAGGAAGATGGTGACAATGACCTAAGACTGCATGGTCCTAAACAAGACCCATCTTTCCACACTCATCTAGACTTTGTTTCTGTCCCTACAGCTCTCAGGCTAGCAAACCTCAGCAGATGATCATTTATGGAGTTGAAATAGAATTCTTAAACTTTACTTCTACTTTGTACAAGGGAGGCTACCCATATCCCTCCAGCTTAAGGTATTCTAAGAACACAGAATGGAGGTCTCATCGGTTTGGATCTGTGTCGTTACTCACAGCTTCTAAGGGAGCTGTCAGGTTCTGGTCATAATTACTTCCTGATAATTCATGTAAAATAATATTTGCTAATCCTGATAATCGGCTCAGCATCTCTAGGGGTGAAACAGAAAAAGAAAATGCAACAATCAGTAAAAACAGATACAGGCTGCGAGAGCATGAATAAAGCAGACAGATGCCGCTAGACATATCTTCTATATGAATATCATCTATGTGAAATAAGGACACTGTGGTGCTACACACTGGGTGCAGTGTGTAGCCAGGCAGTGTGTATGGTGTAACCACACCCTGTTCTGCTCAGGTGCCATAATGTAAGCGCCATTACGTAAGCACCATTACTAGGACCATTTGAAAAATAAAATTTGAGAACCCAATCCTTAACTACAAGGATGTAATTGTCAGGAATGTCTTAAAGGCCCCCTTTTTTCATTGATAAACAAAACTCTTAAATTTTCCTTCTCCCAGATTTATCTTTTTCTGATTGTCAATTAAACCTCTAAGACTCAACAAAATTTCCTTTTTCATGTGTTCCCTGAATCCTATTCTTTCTTGCAGTGTTCCTAACAAACTATGTGATGTCAGGGAAAAGTCACTGTTCAAAGTGGAGCATACATATACATATGTAGATGACTGAAATCAGTGTCCTATGCTTGTTCTGCAAGAAATTAGAAAAAGGAAACATAAGCAGAAAAAGGGAAATAAAGCCTAGAGCAGATGAGTAAATAGAAAATTAAAAACCCATAAAACAAAGGCAGTTCTCAGAAAAGATCAATAAGGACAGTGAAGCATGAAATTTTTTTTTTCAACTGACATCAGCGATGAAAATACAACATCACCACTGCCCTGGCATACATTAGGAGAGGACAGAGAAAGGGGAAACTGAAATAACCTCTAGCTGTACAATCTACCCTGAGTATGAGTGGCACCAATCCATGGTTGGGTCTTAAGATGAATAAAAAGAAAGAAAAACTGATCATGTTTACTGAAAATGTGTTTTATACAGATTGAATTGCTGTGTCAAATTTCTTGGTTTCAGATTTTGAAATATTTTGGATTCTGTAATATTTGTACATATATAAAAAGCCATCTTGGGAAAAGGACCCAAGTTTAAACACACAAAAAAAAGTAATTTATAGTCCATATATATTTAACACACACAGGCTGAAGGCAATTTTGTATAGTACTTTTAATAATTTGTGCATGAAGTTTCACGGTATTGAATTTTCTACTGTTAGCATATGAATACTCACCAAGCTTTATTTTTGAGCCCCTCATGTTTCATACATTAAAATCAGAGATGCTGTGTGATATTAATAAGTGGCAAAAAGATGTATTATGACTCACATGACAGGACATATGTATTACATATGTGCTTTAGCAGTCAGAACGTCTCTTTGGGGAAAATTATTTACCTTGCTGATTTCTGGAGTGGGAAATGGAGAGAAGTAAGGAGATAGAATTGTGCTTTACATTATTATACCATTTGGTTTCAAATTTCCTTTGATCAAAAGCACATATAGCTTATTCTAAAATAGCTAAAATGAGATGAGTGCTACAGGGCTGGGGATGTACCTTAGTAGCACAATGGTTGCTAGGATGCATAAAGGCTCTGGGTTTGATCCCCTTCCCCAAGGTTCTGAGTTTCACTCCCCACCCTGAAAGGGCTTAGAGGGATCTTAGACTGCCCGGTCTGCTTTACAGGGTTGTTAATATCAGACAAGACAGTATGTAATAATCAGTGGTGAGATGTGTCTCATAAAAAAAATTTATTCCTACTAGGAAACCAAGAGATGTGAATGATATATTTTATAAAGAAGGGTAGTATCAACATCTCTTTAATCAAAATGGGCGAGGGCATCAGGGCAAGAGAAGTAAACTTTAAAATTCAATCAAAAAGTTAAAAAACAAAAACCTTCTAAAGATGATTATTTTTAGAAAGGGCTATATTACAGTAGAATGAAAAACCCACCCCCAAAAGATTGGGAATTCTCAAAAATGCTGACAATCATCTTGAGAAAATAAGGAAGCACCTTCTATTTGGTCTTCAAATTCTGTTGATTTGGGCCTGATTTTTTTTCATTTAATTCTCTTAATTTGTATTTTGTCTTTTTTTTTATAAACATTTGTGGCATATTTATAAAGGTATTTGCACACTATTTAAAGTAAACATAAGATATACTTAATAAACATAAAACAAAATAAACATACTTAGGAATAGGCTTAAAATGTTTTACCCATAGCATATGCAATTAAAACAGTTCAGGAACTACTAATGTAGTCAAATGTAATAACTAGATCTAAGGAGGAAGCATCAAACGGTCCTTCCAGGATCAAGGAAGTAAAAACGTGTAATGAATGAATACTACTTCAAGCCAGGGCCTCCTGGAGGCAAGGACTCTACCATTTGCGTATACTTTTAGCCCTGAAACTTTGGAGTTTTTTTTTTTTTTTTTTTTTTTTTTTTTTTTTTTGTCTCATTTGTTCTAACAGAACATTTCCAGTGCCTGACCCTTTATAGCCAATTCCAACAATTCAAAACTTGTGTTTCTAGAAAGGCCTCTACACTGTCATCTTTCACAGATCTGAAAAGTCGTCCTTTAACTGCTTGGGGAGCTTCCAACTACCTCTGAAAGTCAACGCGTTTATTATCCATGATTTCAAATCTCTATCCCACTCTCAGAAAGGTCCTCTTTCCACAGACCAACTGCAGCGCTTTAAATAAACCAAGCAAATATTTTCTCCAATCGCCTAGGGACTCACCCTCCTGTTCGCATTCCTGCGATGCTTTAGCAAAACACCCCCCCCCCCCAACACACACACACACACAGACAAACCCGGGGTTTTTTTCCTCCAGAACTCCCTTCGAGGTTCCCTTTCCTTGAACACCTCTCCCTCCTCATCTTCCCAGCCCATCAGCATCAGTAGGATCACGGTGAGCCTCCGACTGCGGAGACAGTGATGCCATTTGCCTAGTTTGAGGCCCGCCACCCCCGCGGGGCATAAAGTTTGTTCAGGGCCCGAGCTCAGGGCTGGGACAGGCTGGCTCCCCGCGTCCTCGGCTGCGTGCCCGGGCTGGCTTCTACAGGCCGCCGGGACACAGGGCCGTGCACGCAGGACTGGCCAGCTCGCCCGCCTGCGGGGCTCCTCCGAGGCCCTGCCGGCCCCTGGGTGTCTGTGCTCCAGGGCCGCCTAAGGCGACGGACACCGGGCGACCACCTAGGCCGGGCAGGTGGCGGCAGGGACCGGAGGGGCGGGGCGGTGGGCTGAGCCGCTGCCCGGTGTCCCTTGGCCAGCGGCCCGCGGTAGGGCCATTGCGGAGCTCCCCGCAGAGCCTGCCGACTCCACTCACCTGCAGGTGACGGCCACCGGCAAATCCGGCCGCCCCCCGCTCGACCTAAGCCACGTCAGCTCGGGAATCCCTAGCTCAGCGCCTCCACCGCCGCGCCCCTAAGACACAACCACTCGCCATGGGACGGAAGACGGGAATGAGACCAGGACCTATCGGAGCTGCGCACCGGGAGTTGCCTTAGCGACCAGGCACGCCTTGTTTGTAGCTAATCGCGTCACAATGGCAGACACCAATCAATGCCCTAAGACCTTTCACTTCCTCAAAGACCAGAGCCAATGGGTTCTAAGAAGGTGAAGCATGGCGGATGATTTTATGTTGGGGTATGACCCGGAAGGAGATCCTAGAGGGCCAGGCCATGCCAAGAGGGAGGGTATTCCCAAAGATCAGCTGTTTGCTGTGTAGTTTGGGAATTCCGGTTTACCCTAATTTCACACCTAGTGCTGTTCCCGCTAGCGACAATGGTCTAGGCTTCTCAGGAGATTTTTGAACTAGGAGCACCAGCCGCTGGGATTGGGATCTGTGTGAGAACCAACCCGGGATAAGCCTGAAACTTGGCTTACCGTGGCATTTTAACTTGTGATAAAAAATGAGAACCGGAGGCATGACTAGCCAAAGACCAACAGCACTTTAGTCTCGGACTACACCCTGACTTCACAGGGAGGGCATCGTTTGCTGATATCGCTCAGGATGTGTAAGAGACACTGAAGAGTTGGAAAGTGGCACTTCAACTGGCATCAGCAAACTGAGATTTAAGGGCTCTGGGATGGGTCAGTGAAAACACTCATCAAGTGCGCCTTCACCCTAACAGGCCTGCCAGCAGGAGTGGGAGGGGCGCGGCAGGGCAGAAACCCAGCTAACTCCTAATGATTTCAGACATACTTAATAAAAAATGTTAATATGAATTTATTGAGTCTCATTTTACACCAATCACTCAGCCCTCTGTATTTACAATCTCATCCTAATAATCACATAATCTTTTGAGGCCCAAATAGTAGCTCAATAAGGCATCTCGTAGTTGCTCATTTAAAATTGTACATCCTATATTTACTATATCTTTTCCCACCTAACATAACTCATTGTCTTTTTAATTTATTTAGTTATTTTTTATGTGCATTGGTGTTTTGCCTGCATGTATGTCTTTGTGAGGATCCCCTGGAAATGGAGTTACAGACAACTTGTGAGCTGCCACATGGGTGCTGGGGATTGAACCCAGGTGCTCTGGCAAAGCAACCAACCGGTGCTCTTATCCACTGAGCCACCTCTGCAGCCCTATCTCAGTTGTATCTTCAGGTCCCAGAATAGTATACAGGGGGTATTAATGTCCCCTGAAGCAATGTTATGTGTGATTATCTTTAATCTATGATATAATAAACTTCAAAGACTAATTTATTCAAGGTGTTTGGGGAGGGGCAGAGCCAGGATAAGTAAATTGTATCTCTTTGCATACTTACCTACATTTACCCTTAGATCTTTCCGTTTTAAGATAGCTCCTTACAGAAGAAGTTAGAAAATTACCTAGTAGGTATGGCCCCACTTTCTCTTGGGTGGGTCTAGACTGCTCATTCACAGAAAAATGCAGTAAACACAAAGGAAATAAAATCTGGAAATGTGGAGAGGTTTGAGCTGAACTGAGCTCTCTAAAGCTCCTTCAAACGTCAGTGAAGGACTAGAAATGGTTTGAAACTAAGTGCAACTGCAGCACATTGGCTCTGAGAGTGTGGCTGAGATAGCAAAATGTAATTTAGGAATTATTCAGGTGTGGTGGCACTTGACTTTAATCCCAGCAAGCCCTTAATCCCTTTGGGAGACAGAGGCAGGCAGATCTCTGAGTTTGAACCAGTTCAGTTTACAAATGGAATTCCAGGCCAGCCTGCTGAGTGAGTCGGTCTATAATTCTGTTGTGTCTCCAAAATCAAATAATTAGGAATCGATACCAAATGAGAGTGAAGAACAGTGTGGGTAGGTGCAGCATCATTTGTGGACTGCCTGAGATATTTGACAATAGTGAGAGGAACTGACAGACAAGGAATATGTTGCCTATACAAAATGCTATGTCATTTTATGCAAAGGTATTTGAATATTAATTCTGAAACCAAAGAAGTTTGCATCACTCAGGTGTCTCTTGGAGTGGGACGATTTTGGGTCTGTGAGATGGTTTCATAGGTAAAGCTTATGCCATATAAATTGATGATCCAAGTTTGACCTCTGGAATCTATATGAAGGTGAAAGGAACCAAAAAGTAGTCCTCTGAGCTCCACATGTGCTTTGGAAATCATATACACACATCATACACAATGTTAATTATTATTTTAAAAAATAATGACCATTTTCCCAATTAAAAGTATCGTGAGGAAAAATTGAGGGTAAAAAAAAGTCCTACCCAGCAGCACATGTAATATTTCAGAAAAAATGCCAGGGATGGAAAGGTTTAAAGTGCAGTGGTGGAGATGTATGTGGAGGAGAAATAATTAAGGCCAAAAAAGTCTAAGTTGAAAAGGGTATGGGGATGTAGATGTTAGGGAGGGGTAAGGACTAAAATGGAGTTTGAACAGAGGTACTTGCATGGGTGGATAATGCTATTCCCATATCCATGGGTTCTTCAGCCAATCCCAGTGCTAGGTATGGAATATCTCCCTATGAGTCAAGGAGGACTCAGAAACCCAGAAAATGCAAATGCAATTGCTCTTGGTTGTCCACCTGAACTAGATGGTAGGGCAGTATTATATAACATATGCACTTTCATTATAAGACAGAGAAATCAAGCTGGGGTTACCTGGAGGCTGGGTGGCTTTGGTAGTGCTAGAAAGTATGATTTGGGCTGTTGGGAGACAAAGTTATAATTGGTCTTAGCCTGCAGTGGACCCTGAATCCTACTATACTGGCCTGGCACATAAGATGTGCAAACTGGTGCAACAATGGCATGAATGATTTGGGGGTTACCAACCCATTTCTGGTTGGATATCAGGAAAACTCTACAAAAGGGAATCCATGTCTTGTACTGTAAAGCTGGTCAAGAGCCCTTATCTGGGGAGGTATAAATACTAGGAAGGAACTTCTATTGCTTTACCGAATGGACATGTTTCCACATTGCCTTGTATATATGTGTATATCCACTGATTTATGTTTCTTTTTGCCATGAGCCTTTAAGGTAAACGCAGAAATTCAGTCAAGGGGCTGAGAATAAGAGGCCACTAAGTACTTATATTTGAAAAGGATATTAGTATCACTGCCCATCACCACGGTTCAAAGAATATCACAGAAGAGGAAGTAGGAAGATTTTAAAAGCTGGAGATGGGGATAAATGCCTTGAAAAGCTGCCTTCTGGATATGACATGGATGTTGCACTCATGAGTTAACCAGCAGCTATGGGAACTTGCATATTGCTCAAGATGAAGCTTGTCAATATTCCAGCATGGATGGAAGAGCTCATAAGGCACACTCCTAACTAAATAGCTACTTGCAGTTAATGCCTGTTGGAGTAGGGAGTGAATCTTTTTTTAATGATGTCACAATTAGTAAATCACCCATGATTCAGTAAACAACTCCTCACCCATGCACATGCAGGCAACCCTAATTACACTCAGTGGTTTTGTTTTTTAAGGACATGAAAGTAGGAAGGGGCTACTGGAGAGTTTTCTAGAGGGGACTGGGAGGAGGATAAGAGAAGGAAGACACAAGTATAATCTATACTAGTGAATCATCATCTTATAGGTCAGAAAAAAGTGGCCAATTAAAGAATATTTCATTGAAAAACAGTGTGGGGTGGTTGGAGAGATACCTGAGTAGTTGAGAGCTCTTGCTCTTGGCAGAGCACCCAAGTCCAGTTCTCACAGCCCCCTGTCACTTGAGCTCTGGGAGAATTTAATACCCTCTTCTGTATGTTTTGCATACAGACTTCCACATGGTTACACAGATACACTCTCATACCCAAATAAAAATAAAAGTTAAAAAAAAAACAGTAATTGAACTTATTTTCCTATCATTTCTAAAAGGAAATACACAAACACAGCAGCTAAGCATGTTGGCACATGCCTGTAATCCCAGCACTGGGAGACAGAAGCAGGTAGATCCCTGAGTTTGAGGGAAGCTTTTTCTAGTGAATTCCAGGCTAGCTAGAGCTACATAGTGAGACCCAGTTGTAGGGCGGAAAAACCGAACTCCTTACACCCAGTATTTTTAAAATACATTATTTTGGGAGAGGGATGTGGAGAGACCACTCAGTGGTTAAGAGCACTGGCTGCTCTTCCAGAGGACCCAGGTTCAGTTGTCAGCACCCACATGGCAGTTCACAACAGTCTGTCATTCTAATTCCAGATAATCCAACATTCTCACACAGACATATATGCAGACAAAACACAGATGTACCTAAATATAATTTTTAAAATGCATTTTTACTGGCTCCCTACAGAATGGGAAAATATCTTCATCAACCCCACATCTGACAGAGGGCTGATCTCCAAAATATACAAAGAACTCAAGAAACTAGAAATCAAACTATCAAATAAACCAATTAAAAAATGGGATACAGATCTAAATAGAGAATTCTCAACAGAACAATCTCAAATGGCAGAAAAACTCTTAAGGAAATGCTCAGTATCCTTAGTCATCAATGCAAATCAAAACCACTCTGAGATTCCATCTTAAACCAATCAGAATGGCTAAGATAAAAAACACCAATGACAGCTTAGGCTGGAGAGGATGTGGAGAAAGGGGAACACATTGCTGGTGGGAATGCAAACTTATACAGCCACTGTGGAAATCGTTATGGTGATTTCTTAGAAAATTAGGGATCAACCTACCTCAAGACCCTGCAATACCACTTTTGGGAACATACCTAAAAGAGGCACACTAACACCACAAGAACATTTGCTCAACTATGTTCATTGCAACATTATTTGTAATAGTCAGGTCTTGGAAAGAGCCTAGATGCCCCTCAACTGAAGAATGGATAAAGAAAATATGGTATATTTACACAGTGGAGTACTACTCAGTGGTAAGAAACAATGACATCCTAAAATTCACAGGCAAATGGACAGAACTAGAAAAAAAAAAATCATCCTAAGAGAGGTAACCAACCCCAAACCAGAGACAAATATAGTATGTACTCACTTATAAGTGGATACCAGACATAAAGTAAAAGATAGCCAGCATACAATCTACAATCCCAGAGAAGCTGGAACCCTCTTCCAGATACAGATGGAAGCAGATGCAGAAGTCCACAACAAACCAATGGGCCAAGTTGCGAGAGTACAATGGAGTGTGAGTGAGGAGTGAAAATATGAACAAAGGAGTCAAGACCATGATGGGGAAACCCACAGAATCAGATGACCCAAGCTAGTGAGAAGTCACTAACTTAGATCTGACAAATGGAGAACCTGCAAATGGAGAACTAGACATTCTTAATATAGGTGACAATGGTGTGACTGGGACAATATATGAGGCCTCTGGTAGTGGGTCCAAGATCTAACACTAATGCACAAAATGACTTAGTGATGCCCATTCTATATGGAGGGATACCTTGCCCAGCCTAGACACAGGGGTGTGGGTATGGAGAGGTGCCTTGGTCCTGCCTTAACTAGATGATAGGACAAACTTAGTAGACTTACTAGGGGAGGCCTTACCCTCTCTGTGGAGCAGATGGGAGGTGGGGGAGTGGGGAGAATGGGAGGAGAGGAGGGAAGGGAAACTTGGATTGGAATGTAAAAACTAAATTAAGGAAAAAAAATGCATATTTACTATAAGAACCATTTCCCTCTATGTCTCTTCTACAGTTTTTCAGATAGTGAAATGTCCTGTACTTGACTACTTCTTTTTCTAAACTGTGTCGAGGTAAAAAATATAATGGTAGTAATAATAATAATGGAAATTCTGAATAACAAATGTGAAAAAATGAAATAATCCTGACAAGGTTTTCAGAAACACAATATTTATTTTAGAAAAACACAACCTTTAGTTAGAAACAAATGAAATTTCATATTCCATGTCAACAATAGCATTTCACAATGAGTTCTGTCCCACAATTAAAAGCCCACAAATCTGTGAATAGGACAAGGTACAGAAAAAGGGAAAAGAATTGGTAGCGAGGTAGGCAATGCTCTGCTTGTTGTGTCCAAGTGTTGCATGAAAAAAGATCCTCTGAAAAGCCTCCGGTAGCCCAGAGGCATAACCAGTTGGCTTTCATAGTTACCCTCTAGGGGGGTTTGGTTCCACCAATAAATAAAGTCCCTAATTCTATACTAAGCTCATCCTTTGGAACATCAATCTCATCACCTGGTTCTTCAAGCTTCTTCCACCAAGGTGCTTGTATATGCTTCAGGGTGGTGAGATGGGCCTGTTTGGCCTTGGCTGCCACAGGCCTAGATCGACTTAGGAAGTGCTCAGGTTCTTTTCCTTCTGCCTCCTTCAAACCTGGTGCCTCTGCAGCAAACAGAAAGTAAACATGTTAGCAGAAGTGTGCCAGGCAAGCATCAACCTGGAAACAGCAGAGCTGGGGCCCAGCTACAGTCAGACACAGGACAGGATTCTAACTCTGAATGTGTTGTCTCTGCTAACTGTAAAGGTAAGTATCTAGTCACAGATGTGGATGACAGCAACAATCTCAACTCCTTGGCAACTTCCAGGCTTAAAATAGAAGAATAAAAGAATAAATTTTGTTAGCTTAAAGATGGAAACTTTGGTAAAAGCATGTCATTAAAAGTTATAAAGTTCTATAAGCACATTGCATTGTAATTACTGCCCTTTTCTACTTCTAATATATGAAAAAATGAAAAAGAAGGCTTTAGGGACTACAGAACAGAATGTGGCTAGTAGAGTAAAACATCTTTGAAATTAGTAATTTTGCTTGAAATATTTTAATTGATAACAAGCACAAACAGAAACTACAAGAGTACATATAAGTGAAAACTGGGATGATGTAAATTTCTCTGAGGGCTGGCATAAAAGCTATTTGTGGCATTTTCAAGATTTTAAAAGACACATCTCTTGCATGGGGCATGCCTTTTCTGAAACATAGATGGAAGCAGAACATACTCATCAACTGTTCAATATTGGTGCTGATCTGAGCCATCAAAGCTTCTCTGTGTTGCTGGGCTCTTTCTTCTATGGCCCTTCCCATAAAATAGTGTTGAAGTCGTTCTTGTGCTTGGGCATGGAGCTCTCTGCTGGCCACATCTGACATCTGAGAGCCCTGAAAACATGACAGAAAACTTGTCATAAAGACAACATATGCTTTACCTAACCACATAGAAGGACTTCTACATTTTTAGAAATCTCATTTTATCTATAGAATCTTATAGCTCTTATATACCTTGTCCTCTACTGAAAGTATTAAACTGTCTTTAAATTAGTAGTTTAGTTAGGTGTAGCCATGCCTACAATCTCCATGCAGAAGCAGAGGCAACTTAATCATGAGTTCAAGGCCAACCTGGGCTATATGATGATACCTTGGTGGGAGATGTCATTATGTATATATGTTTCTCTTATTGGTTAATGAGTAAAGCACTGTTGGCAAATAGGAAAGATAGGCAGGACTAGGAGCAAGGAGGATTCTGGGAGATGAAGTAATAGGGGTCAAGAAGTAGGGGCTTGAGGGAAGAGGTTCGGACCCTCTTTCTGGTAAGACCACGTGGAAATACTTAGATTAATAGAAATGGGTTAATATTTAAGACAGAGCTAGCTAATAAGAAACACTAGTAACAGGCCACCAGCTTTATAACTAATACAGCATCTCTGTGTGTTATTTGGGGCTGACTTGGCTGTGGGACCAGAATGGCAGGAAAACTGCTCGTAACAAAATGGTGCCTACAACGCGGGTGCTAAGAACTTTCACTTAAAACTTGACAAAAGCTTAAAAAGGGTTTTTAGAAACAAAAGAATGAGACAAGCATTTTTCTCGGTTGGGATCTGTTTTGATAGAGACATAGAATGGTTCAGTTCCTTTAAGGGAGGTTTCCTGACTTGGCATAAGCAGCAAATGCTAGTAACAACTTAATGTTGTGTATGAGAGCTGGCAATCGCAGTGACCACATCTCCAAGCTAGCAGCATGCTGCTTGATGGCAGAACAGACCAAGGCAGTGAGTACAGTTCTCAGTGCTGGTGGTAAATGTACCTCCATCATCTTGGATAGACTGCAGCTAAAATGGCTTCCAATGGAAAGTTGTTTAGCAGATAATAGAGTTGTGGCCAGAAAAAGATAAAGATTTACAGTAAAGACAGATTCAGATTAAGAAAAAAACCTTTAAAGGTTTACAGTGTGTTTTAAAATATATATAGGCTTGGGAGAGAAAAATAAACATGATAAAGTGGTTTAAAAAAATAGAAACAAAGAGAGTAGCTGGGTGTGGTGGCACATGCCTTTATTTCCAGCACTCAGGAGGCAGAGGCGAGCAGATCTCTGTGATTTCAAGGGCAGCCAAAGTTGCTCAGAGAAAACCCTGTCTCAATAAATGAAAAAATAGAAGTAGACTAATAAAAAAGCCACATGAAGATGGGAAAGCACACAAAGAGTCTGGATACTGTATGGTATTGTGGTGTATTTGAATTGCTCAATTGCTAAGGAAGGAACAACAATTGCTACAACACACTCGATTATCAATGCTGCTGAATTAATCTAATTTATATAGTTTAAAAATCCCTTGACTTCAAATTTAAGTCTAAGAACAGGTTTTCACAGAAAATGAAAAGCTATGGGTTCTTTCCAGACTAACATGACTTGATCAAGCAAGACCCCCTGAAGCAGTGTCCCAGGTGATCCAACATTCAAAATAGCTGGGACAAGGCAGTCTTGAAGACCAATACAGGCAGGATTTCTGCATCTTCTTAGGATTCCCCAAGACAGCGCCCCCTACCAGCAGGAAGCAATTTGGAAAGAACAATGCCCAAATTCCCAAATATTGTATATAAATGTTTGTTTTCATTTAAATGGGGTTGGCTATAAATGGTTAATGACAACAAACAATGTCTTTTTAAAGGTAAAAAGGGGATTATGATATAGAAATTAATACTTTGTTTTGGAATGGATTTTCATTCATTGATATAAACTTAAGGTCAATTTTGTGATATGTATACTTCTCTTATTTAGGTATTGTGTTTATATAGTTCATTTTAAAATGTAATGTACAATTTAGTACAGATTTTAGATAGTTACCTATATTAGTCAGAACTTATAATTAAGTTAGTTAGGTTTTATAGATATAGAGAGATATATTTCAAATGGACAGGCATTCTTCAAATCTTTCAAAAATCTACAGAATATGGCATTTAAAATGGTTTAGAGTTTTTCTTAACGGTAAGGAATAACTGCTCCTGGCAACACCACTTTCTTCAGAAAGGAAGATGGACACTGAAGAAACTCAATATGGAGTTTACTTCCAATATGGCAAGACTAGCCATTTGGGCAAGATACTGCTCTTGTGTGGACTGTTTGACTTTATTCTGTATAAACTGGACATGCAAGACCCACAGAAAAGTGATTGCTGAAACAAGATGGACATTGCTGTAGGTTTCCTGCTTCATGGAAGAGTCTACCACACATTCTACAGGACACAGAGAAAAGTGACTGACAAACTGTCAATACAGGTAGACAGTTTAAAGTTTCCTGCTTTGAAGATGGGACATTACAGATGAACTTTGGGTGACTGGACAGGCAGCGAGTTGTCTGTCATTTCTAGAGTTTATATATTATCTTTCTGTGGTCTTTGATGGAGCTAAAGACAGATAGTTATGGTTATAGTTTTCCTTCTTAAAGATAAGTTACATATAAGACTTTAGACTCACAAAGACAGGATAGATTTTCTTTAAATCTTGCTAAATGTTAATGGAGTAAATATTGTTAACCATAGTTCTTATTTGATAATTGTTTTGTTGTATGTAATATTACTACGTTAAAGTTAAAACCCTTCTTTTTATTTTAGACAGAAAAGAGGAGATGATGTCATTCTATATATATATTTCTCTTATTGGTTAATGAATAAAGCATGTTTGGCAAATAGGAAAACAAGATAGGCGGGACTAGGAGACAAGGAGGTTTCTACGAGATGTAGTAATAGGGGTCAAGATGCAGGGGCTTGGGGTCCATTCTGAGTTCCTGTGGGCAAGATCCTTGACGACCCCCAAATCCGGGCCTCTGCCAAAGAAAGAGGCCTCAGCTGGAGAGTTCCAGTTTCCAGTGAGATCCAACTATCCTGCAAAACCTTCTCAAGTTCCAGCTCAGCCCTTGTCCTCTTCCGCCAGCTATTGGCCAGAGGTGAGTCTGGGCCCAATCGGGGCTGCCTGTCCCCTACAACCACTTTCCCCCTTCCCCCCGCCCGAACTCCCTGGGTTGGCCCCTGATCCTGCTGCTCCTGTCTCCAGTCCCCATCAAGAGCACCCTTGGAGCTCAGATACACCCCCACCCATCCCCACTGCCAGCCAACCCCCCCTACCCTGAGCCCTACCCTACCTACGGTCCTGCCACTCTGGTTGAGCACTGGGACACAGGGTGGAGCCAATAGTCCACCCTACTTCAGAGACTTCACTCTGAACAAAGTAGACATGACTGACTATCCACGCAGGACCACCCACCTGTAATTTCCACCTGCTTGGTCTCAGACCCCACCTCCAGTCCTCTGCTGGAGTCCTGGGCCCCTCCCAGAGATCCGCCTATCTCTGCGGGACCACTGTGAGTACCTGCTGGCATCTTCTACTGGATCCTCATCCTTGACGCCTTCCCTGGATCACTGTCTGCAGAGAAACCTCCTAGAGAGCTTGGACCACACAGAGCTACAGACATTGAATCTCAGACCCACATAAGCCCATCCGGGAAGTACCATAGAGAGAGGGGGAGACCCCACCAAAACCTATTGGAAGAAGCTATGGGAAAACGGCAATACAAGAGAACACCTAACAACAGAAAGACAAGCATGACACCACCAGAATCTAGGGAATCTACCCCAACTAGAATGGAACACAACAACAAAGCAGAGGAAGCAGAAGGGTACTACTTAAAAATTACCATCATAAAAATGATAGAGGCCCTCAAAGACGATGTGAGAAAATCCCTTAAAGAAATGGAGGAAAAAGCAAACAAAAAAGTGGAAGAAATGAATAAATTCCTTAAGGAAAGTACAGAAAGCCAAGAAAAAACAATTAAGCAGGTGAAGGAAACAGATCAAGACTTGAAAACTGAAATAGAGAAAATAAAGGCAACACAAACTGAAGGAATGCTGGAAATAGAAAAGCTGGGCAAAAAAATCGGCAACTATGGACACAAGCATAACCAACAGAATTCAAGAGATGGAAGAGAGAATCTCAGGCGCAGAAGATAATAGAAGAAATAGATTCATCGACCAAAGAAAATCATATCCAACAAATCCTTAACACAAAACATCCAAGAAATGTGGGACACCATGAAAAGGCTAAACCTAAGAATAATAGGCATAGAGGAAGATGAGGAAGCCCAGCTCAAAGGTGCCGAAAACATATTCAACAAAATCATCGAGGAAAACTTTCCAAATCTGAAGAAGGACATGCCCATGAAAGTACAAGAAGCATACCCAACACCAAATAGACTGGACCAAAGAAAAAAGGCCCCTCGACATATAATAATCAAAACACCTAGCATACAGAATAAAGAAAGAATATTAAGGGCAGCAAAGGAAAAAGGACAGGTAACATATAAAGGCAGACCTATCAAAATTACACCTGACTTCTCCATGGAAACCCTCAAGGCCAGAAGGTCCTGGATAGATGTTCTAAAAGTATTAAGAGAACACGGATGCCAGCCTAGGCTACTATATCCAGCAAAACTCTCAATCACTATAGATGGAGAGAACAAGATATTTAATGACAAAACCAGATTTTCCCAATACGTACCTACAAATCCAGCACTACAGAAAGTATTGGAAGGAAAACTCCAACCCAAGGAAGGTAACTACGTCCACAAAAATGTAGGCAACAGATAATCTAACTATACCAGAAACCAAGGGTGAAGCAGAACTAATATATTCACAATACCACTACAAACCTAACAACAACAAACCTAAATCAAACAAGCATCAACAATCAATGGTCCTTACTCATCCTCAACATTAATGATCTTAACTCACCTTTAAAAAGACACAGGCTAACATAATGGATACGAAGAAAGATTCCATCCTTCTGCTGCATACAAGAAACACATCTAAGCTTCAAAGATAGACATTACCTCA